GGCGAAGACCAAGTCCAATAAAGAATGACTGGGCTCGAGACGAAACAGCGAGGGCGTGCTGACCGTCGCAAATACGGGACTTGACGCTCCCACAAACTGGAACTGGATTCAGTTCACAAACTCTCTCTCCCGGAACATAATTCAGCTCTGTACTTCACTTGGTCTGGACGAACTTTTCTTACAAGTATCGCTTCACAGACGACTCGCCATCAGAGGTTAAAATGGTGCAGAAGTCAACAAGTCAAAGACTTCTCCAGCTCGCGTACAGTAGAATTGCCTAAAACCTCTCGAGGTGTGTGCATGTCTCTCTCTCTGTGTCTTTCCTGTCAGCCAGAGCCCGTATTTTATGGTCTACAATTCTTCTAGAAATTTCTTTCTTATTACGCAAGTTTCTTAAAATAGCCTTTTCAGCATGAATTAATCTTACAAGAAAACCTCCGGAAAATACACTAGATAACTGGAAATATTGTCAGCCTACAAGAAATTTGCCGGACTTTCAACGAGAATTCATGACTACATTGAGGTCATTCACATAACCTGTCACACATACAGAGCCTGCGTGTATTAACAAAACAGTACACAAGAATACAGGATAAAATGCACCAGCAAATAAGAACAAACCACAAGTTAGCCTCTGCTCCCCCCCCCGCTGGATGCGCCGTTGCACTGCACGTAGGTATTGGACATTGCATCGAGCATTAGATCCGCCAGTGCGGGGTTTGAAAAAAGTAGGACAAAAAGAACGCCTTTTGCACAATGCAAAGATCCGCAAAAGAAAAAAACTCAGAACAAGAATGCCAACTATTTACCACTCCTCAAGATTTATGTCAAATACGGGAGTTTGTATAAAACTTTGGTTCAGCAAACCGTTACCGTCCCAAAATGCAAACGTGTTATGAACATTTACCCTGATCCTTTTTAGATGCATGCATACGAGTTTAACATCATGATGACCATAAGCGAATTTCAGTTTTAAAAAGACTAAATTCTATTCGTTGTATTTCATAAACTAATTTAATAATGGAGTTCATTTTCGGGAATCGGACTCATCTTAGGTTGGAAAATAATTTTTTCTGACCTTTACTTCCAGCGTTAATGAAGGCTCAAAATTCAGGTACATATTAAATGCTTAAAACAACTCCTCAACTCAAAATATCGGTCAATATTTTCCAAACGGTTAAGAGTACATGTGTTAAATAATGAAAGGTCGCAATATAATCCTTACTGTCGAGATGTGCTTTCGTTACTTAAGTATGACGTCATCAGATATTAATCTTTGGCAATTTAAAGTCCAAATTAAATGTTTTACAATGTAACTTTTGAATTGCACGACGTAGGACATTTATATCTTGAGACCTGGCAACTTTATTTGGCGCAATATTTTTTATTGGGATGGAAAGTTATGTAACTTCAACTTTCGGGGTAATTGGAAGTCCCATGATGTGGGATTATAGCTCGAAATGGAGGGATTGTTTTACACCAGCCAAATAACTAAACCAAAATGCAAAGGGCTGTATTTTATGCAGTATATAAAAGGATGGCTGACGTCATAACAATAAAGGGCGCCCTCTTGTGAGATTTATTTGCCTCACTTTCAGGAACGTAGACAAAGACCACTTGTTAGACACAAAAGGATAATTTTGAGATGATTAATTTCCTATGAATTTGACTTTGTTAATTAATGGACATCAGAGATATCGCCTTACAACAAAATTATATCAACTACGTGTACATTTTCTAATGACAGACATCAAAATTCTGTGAAGTCAACTCACCAAAAATCGATTTCGCCTGATCATAAGTGCTTGAAAATAATACAAACACGTCTCGTTTTGCTCGTCTTTTTTATTTACGGTAATTCTCTGCAGCCTTATTTCACCGATATGTGACACATACCATACGTAGGGATGCACTTGGTTGACGGGTTCATAACGGGACAACGCACGAAAGTTGCACTCTATACGGGCCAATACATCTGAAAACCTACTCGACAGATCACATCCAGTTTACAAGTGACAGGTGTCCTTGTAAACAAATATAATGGCATTCTGTATGTATCACAAGTCTGTGATGTCATCAACTCGATTATGCTCAACCGACCGTGCGTGTAACCGAAACCAATACAAAGCTCTAGTTCCAACATTCGATTCCTGTATTCATGTTTAGTACAATTTCACTTGATCGTTTTACTACTGTGAAAAGCGTTTAACGACAGTAGAAAGATACTCATAATTTTCGATTCAAAAGCCCTCTGACCATGGTTGGTCGATCTCTTAAGAAGTCAGTAACGTATATAATTTGACACAATTTGGATGTGTTTTATTGAGGTGTCAATGGAAAGCCCATCAATTATGGTTGTTTAGAATAAGATAAAAGAAGTGTAATTTTTTTAATTCAGCAGATCCCAACCGACAAGTGCATATTGTGCCAGGTTCGTGGTTTTCTTAGTCGCAGCTAATGGTTAATGCTAAATTTCTTCGCTAGCTAGATCAGTTGCGGACAGCAGTTTAACTGTTAAAATTGTTAAGTGTCCATTGTGTTTTGTTGAGTTGTTTTCAGTGGCGTAAATTTGTGCTAGAAATTCGGGGGATTTGTGACTGGTTCACAGGATGACTGGCTGGTTGGCAGGCTGATTGGTTCACATGATGACTGGCAGGTTGGTGGGCTAATTGGCTCACATGATAACTTTCTGGTTAGTAAGCACCTCAGCTGAAAAATGCGGCAGTCCCAAGCAGAGCTGTTAAACTCTTCCTCAGAAAAATCAGCTTCAAAATCGCTCATGGAAACTTCAGAATCTGCCACTGCTGACTCAAGTCTTCACAAAGAAAGGCGAACGTTGTACGCGTTGCATAATATGTAACGCGCAAACAAATTACGGAGGAAATCCATAGCAGGGGCGTATCAGATGAGACGACCAAATCATCTATGCACTCGTCCCGCATTGTACGGGACCGTTCTTTTTTTAAGTTTGGGGACGCTACGTCCTCCACGTCTTGCCCAAGGGCTTGATAAGCCCAAATCAATTTTAGTCTGGTTCCCAGGCGAGAAGATTATGACTATGTTCGATTCAAAAGTTTTACACATCACGCTAGGGAAATCCGACCCGTGTAAAGGTCATAATCTTGGGGATATTCTGTGAAAGGGAAGGTGAAGTCCAACCTTCCAACAAGGGAAGCTTCCAGGAGGCATAAAGACTAGTCTCCTCTCGAGAATCATTTTCCCACGGGAAAGTACACCGCGTATCTCCGGAAACGCGCCTGCTATCACTCAGTGTCATGCTAATAAAGAGGAAGAAATTCCTCCATTTTTCGACAATATCCGAAATATTCTGAACTCATCGTCGTCAACATTCGGTTTGTATCTTTGATGGTCGGGCGTTTTCAGCGTGTATAATTATGTGCTGATCACCGGATGCGTATAAGTAAGACACGTTTTAAACACACATTCAGTCATAATGGACGTATAAAACAGTGGTGGATGCAGGAGAGATTCTTGAGTTTAAACTTTAAGTGAAGTTCTGCTTGGTTCATTTTGTATTCACAGAAGAAGGGCCACAACTTTGACCAAAGTGCCGACAACGCTTGTATCTAAAAATAGTTCATTTGGACATTCCAGCGGGTGTGCCACTGTGTATTGCGTAAGAACATCCTGAAATTTATATAAATAAAACGGCTTCGAGCAAAGACCACAAAAGTCACATACGAATAACTTCCGAAGCCCAGCCAGACGGGGCTTCCCTGATGACCCCCATAGCATACCACGTCATGGACTTTAACCGTCAGAGATTGTATCAAGAGTCTTCTTCAGGACCGGGAACCAGGCTAGCTCAATGTAAGGTAAGTTCGAGCGACGACCATAGGTAACTACAGATTGACTTACACTGCCCGAACGATGAATGGTTTGTACGATCAAGTTGACCACTTGGGACCAGGCCCAGGGGTCAGGGCGTACCCCTGATTATCAGTAGCTGATTTCATTTATCATTATATATACAGAGGGAACCATTCACACGAAAATAATTGTGCGAGTTTTCAGTGACCATGCACGCTGCTAGAATCGTAGCTAACAGTGAAATGTGAGTAACAATGATATTTTAAATACTTGACCGATTGGAGTCGTTTGGGTGTAGCTGAATTGCGCATGTGCATTGTTAAAAACAATAAACTAATGGCGTGCTATAATTCGTAAGGTTTGTGTGAGGGCGCTCTACAAATAGCTCTAACTTCTCGACCATGTACCAAAGACCGTACACCACACACTGTAGGATTTGCACACGGACGTATATAAAAATTCTGGACTCGCAATGCCTTAATTAGCTTATAGAGATCATTGAATCCACTAGCGGCCATTTTAACGAGCCGAAAACGAAGCTTGCCCGGCAATGCCCGTCTTTGTTCTCCCTGGCGTCAATAGGTACAATGGTGAGAGAGCCAACCCGCGGATATGCACTGATCATGCTTACCTTGGCCACGGGACTTTTTGCGTAATCTACAGGTACGAAACCGAATTACCTCATGAAGAATTCTCAGATCACCATCACAATGCAAATGTCCTAGCTGTACTTGTGGTTCATCCCTGCAGCTCTGCCTTGCCTTCGGGTTGGCCCGTGTTTACCCCTTTCCGAGATTTACAATGCATCGCAGTGGCCACTTAAAAGGCATACCGCCCTCAATTTCCGTGTGTCTCAAGGCGGTCAGAAAACAAAACAAAACAAAACAAAACAAAAAAACGAGGAGGGCGGGGACTCCTTTTTTTCAAACGGGACTGGACAGTTTCGAAAGAGGGCGCCCTGTGTGCTATGCGTTATTCATAATTCTGGCTTAAACTTGAAAGAGTGGTTAATATGAAGGAGTAAGGATGTTCAAATCACCGATGTTTGGCAGCGGAGGTACAGACTGGTCGGAAGTAATCCCAAATAATCTATCACACTCCGAGGTTCGAATCCACCCTGTCGTTTGTACCTTTTTTTTAATCTTGAAAATACATGTAATAAGAGAGGAAGAAACAATCTCACGCTGCTTAAATCCCAAGTAGGGTTTATGTGGTCAAGAACAAATATATTCCAACTTGACTTTTTGCCACTTTGCAGAAAAAGCACTCTTCAGCATGTTTTATTGTATAGCGCTGTCACCATCTCCTTCGAAATCAATTTATTAAGGTAAAATACATACGCATTTTTTATTTCATTTAATGAATTATGTTGACTGACTAGAAAGTGCCACTGTGGATTACCGAAGGCAAAACAAAAGCAAATTATTAGATATGCCAAACTGAGGTTCGAAAAGCGTCAAGGCAGAGCACAATGACAATTAACAAACAAACAAACAAAATGTGACTGAAAATCGTATACCCCTCAGCAACCACGAACGGATTTTATATTCATTAGAAGCAAACGTAGCGTTAGACTTCACGGAAATACGCAAATTCGTTCTTTTCTTTAATTTGTCGCGGGCTACAACAACAGCGTTCTAGGGCTGGAAGACAGTTAACCGAGTTATACTATTCTGGGCATGCACATTTTCCCAAATATTATTTATCATTAAGGCATTTTGCTGTTACACGTCGAAATAAAATACCAATTACCTCACTCTAAATGGCAAGCACCAGGCGGTATCTAGAGCTATAGACTTATCCAATAAGACGCCGTAACTGCGGTGGCGCCGCACTCAAGCGAACATTCTTCAGCTTGACGCGCGCGTGCATTTAGCACAACGTCACGACACCCTATTGATTGAAGAGGCGTGTAACGCGCATGTACCACATGCCCACGAGCAATGTGCCACCACAGTAATCAGGTTCGTAAGTGCGACGTCACTTCAATTTAAACCACGCCCACTGCACATCACTGCACATAGAGTTACATGCATTGATCGCTGTTCAACTTCAGCCATTGTCCAATGGAAGCCTGCAAATCGTGGCGCGTCTGCCTTTGTGACGAAGTCACTTACGAACCGCCATTTATCTGCATATTTTTCATAAATGACATTGCCTTCATGAATTAGCTAATAATGTTTAAGTTCAGAAATCAAGGAAATCATATTATTCCCAGAAATTGCTGCAGTAATTGACACTGCTCGAATAAGGGTTCTAACAGGGAAAACGTGAGAAAGCACTCTCAGACTAGAACCACTTCTCTGCAAGATGACCGTTTCAATTGGTTTTGTAAGCAGCACAGCAGTAGACCTTGATGAATTTGCGAGCTACCACTGACTGATCCAAACTGATGACAAAAGCTCGAACAAGGCGTGTGTTGGTGCTACAGGCGCAATTGGACACGAAGCTACAATAATTCTGTGTACATCGCTCAGTCAGGATCCATTGCTTGTCATCGGTCTCTGGAAACTAGACATCAAAAGAACATAAGGACAGCAACAATCAGCAAATGATTAACTTGAAGAAGCGGAGTTCAGACAGTAATGTGACGTTCGTATAATGGGACAAAAATGAAGGAAACTAGTTATACACAAACAGTTGTACGAATTGAAATAAATGGGTAAGCTTGTTGGCCGAGTCTTTTGCAGACCACATTCAGCCAAATTTCTTTTTACCGACTTCTAAAGCACCAGTATTTTGTGAAGCAAATCCGCCTACCTAAAGGAGGAGAACGAAGTAGATTTCCACTCGAGGAAATGTGAGTAGCTTAGCGCGATCGATGCAATTTTTAATATAAAAATGCGTTAGTTTTTGTCTTTGGTTACATTACGACAGTATCATGCACAGGTACAAAAGGTTGGATGAGGGACAACACAAAATGCACACAACGAATGGGAGACTTTTCCAATGTTAAACTTTTGGAAAGAGGTATATGTAAATTCACAAAATGCCATCGCTAAATGGATTCTGTTGTTGACTGTCAGTACACGTATTCGAAAGTTCTAACCTGCACAACTTGTATCAGTTCATCGTCATTTGTTAGTGCCAATGTTAGATCTTCCCAGTGTTCCTGTCTTGGGCAGATATTGGTTTGCGTCTGTACGGATCGAGACTGCCGCAGTGTCGGCAGCTCATCCGCTCGGCTGAAGTAGTCTCCGTACTGAGCTAGGATCTGATCCCTCTGTGCTGGGGTCAGTGTGACAATTGGGCCGTGTGGAATGTCTCTTCGAACGCTCTGGTGTCCGTTAGCAGTGAGCCAACGGCGAACGAGTGGTTGCTTCTCTTGAACTTCAAGTCTCTGCTCCGGGGTGAGCACTACCGTCACTTGCATGCGAATATAAGGCAAGCAGTCTTGCGCGGAGCACGCGTTGTTGGGGCGGACCTGCTCATCATCAGAGTGGTTGCGTCGTGCTTGACCAGCGTAATGAGCCACAGGGCTTCCACTGCCAATCTCGCTGCTACCACCATGGCCGCTTCTCGTCACGGTGCCCCGCGCACCGTTAGAAAAAACGACGACAAAGTAGAGTGGAATCATCACCAGGCCGTGGAGAACCAAGCCGATGGTAAAGCGAAGTGGCGCCATCTTGGTTATGGGCATGAAACTCTACGAAGAAACAAAATGATACCCATTTATATGTCGGCCCCCTTTAGTCTATATTTCTGATCTAAACAGGTGGTCAAACCTGGCATTGTTCTTCCAGCCGATTAATTCCTGGCATCTTGAATAAGCATATGCACAAACTCTCTCCCCTTCGGAAAAAAGTCTGAAATTCACGTAGGTCCAATGATATTTTTTCACGAGGGAATTGAATTCAACTGCACAAATGTTTACTGAGGGAACTGTTATGAAGCACACACAGATAATTCAAGCTGATTCAGTTTCACCAGTATTTTCCAGCAGGTGGATTTGTATGCATCACGTAATAAGCTTGAACTTTTTTGAAGGGATGGGCACACCCAAGAACCATTATTATCATATTATTATGACTTATTTCTGGTAATGACACCAAGGATTCCTCAAAAGCGCCCTAGGCACTGTGGGTCACGAGCCTGAATAAACCCGCAGAGAGGAGACAACGAGAAGGAATAGTCTGGCTGAAACCCACGGAATCAGGTAGGGACTTGAAAACCTAATCCACACGTAGACCGGGCCGGAATTCGAACCCGGAACCACAGATAGGTGGAAGGCGAGGAAAGAGCCACTACGCCGACCTGGCTCCCCATGTTTCGCCTCTCTGACCAGAAGAAACTTGAATGAAAAGTCCCATGGTGCAAGAGGCATGGAGGGCTGGATGGCCTAAAGATTTTGGACTTGCGGTTTTGTGAGTATTGTAGTCGTAAAGTGTTCAGGTGTATTTCTGGAAATGCGAAAAATTTCATTTTTTTACATAGATGGTTAAGATGTACAAATTTCTGCTGTGTAGTTTGTTTTCAAGCAGGGTACATACATTTCATGGGAAAACGATGTATCTTGCTTTGCTACCTCAACATTGAAAGGCTTTTTGATACATTTCACGGCAAAACGATGTAGCTTCGGTAACCTGCTTCAGATATGGGGGCACTTGACTTAATTGCACGACAAAAAATGCATCTTTGAGACTTTAAGTGCATTTTATCTAAAAAACAACAAGATTGTTCAGTGGTGTTTCACGATTACACTGTGAAATTTATAATTTCATGTATGTTGGATTTCACTTATCAATCTATGAAGCAAGATTGAAAATTTCCGAGTTTACAAGTCAGACACAATCAATAAAGACTTTTGTAAATTATGCTTTTGACATTTAAATGGTATATATGCTGGAAGAGAACACCAGACTGTTTTAAAATTTAATTGCAATTATTTAAGGTTGAACATCTGTTACGAAGGTTAATTTTAGTTAAAATAATTCAGAAAGAACTATTTTTGGTCAAGAACACTTTATACAGATACGAGCAGCCGTGCTTAACGACTTGAATACAAGGTTTGGAAATAAACTGAAAATAAATTGCCTACACCAGAAGGTTGAAAAGTTCTGGTGATTTATGAGACACGTATCTGACACTAATACATGTGAATATAAGAACAAATTATGTTGAGTTTCAAAAACACATTACAGGCTATATACTTCAGTTAGAAAAACTGGTTGCCACAGTTGAGCTCTAGTCCTGTTTAACTCCTTGGATGGCAAGTCTGAGTTCAAGTCATGTTGATTCTTAAAAACATCCTAATAATTATTCACTTCAGTTACAACTTCATGTTAACACCAGATTTTATTAAATTTCCGTGAAATAATAGTTTCAACATGAAGCCCTTGCCAATGTTCAAGCCAAAAAGACTTGTTGCATGTCGTTTAAAACAAGTACCAGTAATGCCGAGGATTAGCACAAGTCCCGTTGATTCTTAGAAAAGCATATATTGGAATCCATTTCAGTTGCAAATCTGTTCCACCGTTAAGCGTCCATGTGTGACTGTCATAACGGCACGCAGTAACGGTGTTGGATTATTTCAGTAAAAACGTGGAACAGTAAATCACCCTTTCTGTAACTGGTCAGAGCAAAAGACAGATCTACAGTTAATGAAAATGTGTTGAAGTGGACAAAAAGCGGTTATTTTTCATTCAAAAACTAGCATATTTTTTGGCAAAACCAAGTGAAGATACATTTTTTTGCCATATTATAACAACTGCATTGAATGAAGGACGTGGAGACATATTTCCACCTTACAGATTTGCTTGATTCGAGCGACCATTTGGTACATCACGACACCCTATTGGTGGAAGAAGCATGTAACGCGCGCGTACCACCTGTCCACGAGCGTTCTGCCACCGCAGTAATGGCTTCTAAATCTGGTTGTCAAATTACACTATATTAATCAACTTTCCTGTTCATTTGAAAAAGATGTCAAACACATGTTTGTTGAAAAAAAAGTCCTCAGTTTGTTCCAACATTTTTGAACCGAAATGTAGAATCTGATTTCGATAAATTTTAGACTTTATATTGCTTGCATGGAATGATTTAATCATTCCACAGTCAACTAAAGGCACTTTCATTTGACATGTGTTAACATGTCTACGTTACAGTTTGCGTCTTGGTTACGTTGGTCTCTGCGTTTCTTACGTCAATATGAAAACCAGGCTTAGCTTAAATTGTCGTAGCTATTCATGAATTTGCTTTGTAGATAACACACCGTTTGACGCAGACAAAACATGACGAAATTGCCGCAATGAAGAGCGCGTTGGCGAACAAAACAATTAACGTAGCAGATCTGAAATCGAATTCCACAATTATAAATACCTCAAACAGTTTCCCTATTCAACAACACGCAACGTGACCATGTATTAACATTTGATGAAATGATGATAATGCTCGCTCAGATTTGATAATGGCCACTGCGTAAAAAAACACTTTGGAGAGATTAATCCATCCCCATCGGTCAAGAGTCTGCATGTGCGGCGCACGGCAAGCAGAAGAAGCCGCGCGCGCCAGGTCCATTATTTGGCGATTCTTCAGGACAACTGGAACAAGAAATACACCATAAACTTAAGGGGGGGGTGTTCAGGAAAATGGAAGTAAAATTCTAGAACAACATTATTCGAAATCTATCATATGTTGATTTCTTTTGACTCTCTGACTAAAAAAAAGTATTTACGAATGGGAATAGGAATATGTTTGGCCGTTTAAATCAACGTTTGAAATCGGCTCAGGAGTCTTGTCTATTCTCCTGAGCCATTCTTAAACGTATTTTTATGACCGGTGAAGCACATAATTATTCCCTCATAAATTAAACAGTGGCGAGAAGTGACGTCCCGGCCGAAATATTTCCGGCGGGAGAAATCCAGACAATTCTAGTGAAAATAAATGTTGCGGGAAATCCCACCGAAATGCACGCAAGAGAATACTTCATTTCAAAAGAAAAACAAAAACCTGATTAATGCAGTCTCCAACGAAGTGGTGTTTTCCTTGTAAATTTTACCATGCAAAATGTCCGGTTTGGGTTGGAATTAGGAAAGACAAAAGCAGAAAGGACGCAAGTGTTTCTGCGATATTCAACATCAGCTAGGTTACATTGCAAAGAATATAGTAAACTTTTAGTCAACCCTCAAACTGACATCTGGTAGCACTGCACTCTAAGAACATAAGTCTTGAATAGGAATTTAACTTGTTAATGATGATGATATCTACAATCATAGTCAATAATCGGCCTGTTTTAGCCACTGCAACGAAATATTCCAAGTTTATTCGTTTTCTTTGTTATCGCAGCAAAATTCAAGTCAAAATTGAACACCGATTTGAAATCTTGAATAAAAATCCCAGAAATTATGCTTACCGCTCCTGGAACGGAATCAAATAAGTTAAATTAGGCGACTACACTTTTCAACGCGGTATAAGAGCCAGATTTGTTTTGAGAGTACTTTTGATTAGTGGTACTCACCTGGTAACCTCTAAATTGCTCGTGATGCTGTCTTTGTTTGAAACTGGAGATGATCGGTGCTCGTTCTGATGAGCGGAGCGCCCGCTCGTGCCTTTAAACTGGCCAGCCATTTCCTGAGCAGTGACTGCTGAACCTGGCCTGGTGTCTGATTGGCCCTTGCGCGCTGTCACTCACAGTCACCGACTCTCGTGTCCGTTCAGCGGTAGTTTTGTTGCTGGCTGAAGGCACAGACTCCGATAGGCACAATAAATCAGTTCACTAATAAAGTTTTCGAAGACAAAAGAGAAAAAATGTGCAAAAGCTGAAAGAACATGACGTTCAAATTTGTGTCTCTGTACACTTTCAATGGGTCGCTCAAGCTTTTTGTCTCCAATAATCATGGCCTCTTGAAACCAAAGTATGCTGATTTCCAAAACGTCTGGCCTTTTGTGCAGACCTTGGCAGTCAGAAAAGTCAGTCCAGAGCTCTACACTATTAACAAGCAAACAAACTACAGAAGAAATCCGTAGAGGCAGTGTGTCAGAGGAGAAAGCCAGATCGACCATGCACTCTTCCCACATTGTACGGGACCGTTCCTTTTTTAAGTTTGGGGACGCTACGTCCTCCACCTCTGGCCCCCAATGGCTTGATAAGCCCAACTCAATTATAGTCTGGTTCCCAGACAAGAAGATGTCACTAATCCATATCTCTTGCGATTCAAAGGTCCAGTATGCGAAAAAAAACTTTCACACATCACGCTGGGGAAATCCGATCCGTCCCGAGTAAACGTTAAATATCTCGGGAGGATTTTTTTTTGTTAAAGGGCAGGTAAAGTCCAATATTCCAACAAGGGAAGCTTCCATTAGGCATGAAGACTAGTCTCTCGTACAATTTTTCTAATAAAAGAAAAACACTCGTCTGGTATCACCCAGAGTCACGTGTCAAAAGAGTACGAAATTCCTCCATTTTTTCGACTATATCCGAAATATTCTGAACTTGTTTGTCGTCCAAATTCTGTTTGTTTCTTTGATGGTAGGGCATTTTCAGCGTGTGTATGTCCTGATAAACAAATACGTATAAGTAAGACACGTTTGAAAAAAATTAAGTCATAGTGAATGTATTAATGGTGGTGGATGCAGGAATTCTTGAATTTAAGTTAAAGTGAGGTTCTGCTTGGCTCATTCACAGAAGAAAGGTCGCAACATTGTCCAAAGTGACCAATAACGCTTGTATCTAAAACTGTTTCTTTTTAGACAACCCAGCAAGTATAGGGATCGTCCATAGGTCCCCTAAAGTACGTATGCACATAATGCCGTACGCATGGCGTACCCAGCGGCTCCAACCCCTTCCCCCTGTGAGCATGCGCATTCCACATATCTTTTAACAGTACATTGTGCATCCACTAGAGTAGTACTGTCATTCGCACAATAACAGGTTTCTGTACTGGTAGGCCTATTTCTTTATCAATGGCCATGCAACATATTACTTGGCAGCTTTAAAAAAAAAGATGTCGTTGAATAAAAACAAAACAAAAAGAAAATACCGGTGCTTTTTTCTCTCTTGTTTGTATGAGAAAGTGTTTTGACATGATGAACATTCAGTAAAGGCTTGAATCCCCCCCGTGCGCATGGTGTACGCAACGGCACCAACCCTCCTCTTTCTTCCTCCGTGCGTACTTTATGGACGGCCCCATACCACTGTGTATTGGTTTGAACTATCTAGTCGACCATTTGGGACTAGGCACAGGGGTATGTTAGCATCGCTGGTTATCAATAGCCGGGTCCCTTCATCATGACAGAGGGAACTTTTCACGTGAAAATAATCGTACGAGATTTCAATGACCATGTACGCTGCGAGAATCACAGCCAACGGTGAAATGTGAGTAACGCTGAGAAAAATTGACAGAGTGCAACTGAACTGCGCGTGCTCATTGTTAAAAAGTAATTGGCTACTGGTGGGTGCACCACCGAAAATAGGCCAGAAATAATCCAGCGAGCTCATTAATAAAAGTTATAAACTAAAAATATTCTATATTAGAGAGTCCTGAGAGCCATGGAATTGGGGCATTAAAGAAGTATGGCAATGAACCTCTGGCCCGGACTCAGGGCTTCCAATTCGGAGCAATTTCGATGCAGTCCAGTCTGAAAGTGGCACTATTTAGCCGTTAGGGATGCATTTCAAAATGGCTATTTTTCCATGGAAATCTGCTTCCTTTTAGGGGTGGTCTGCTTTGGGTGAGAATTTCTCCAAAATTCATCAGTCAACCCACTAAAATTGAAAGGAAAATGAAAGAGGTAATGTCGAGCATTATTTTGCTGTCCAGCTTGCCACCTGATAGAGCTGTATTTTTAAAATAATTTTGAAATATAAGGATTAATCATTGGTGTCTATGGAAATTTATTTTAAGGGGTGCACCCTGGTTGAACTATAGTTCGAGCCCGAACTTGTTCGTAGTAATAACGTTTGTGTGAGGGCGCTCTACAAATATCGCTCACGTCTCGACCATGTACCAAAGACTGCACACCACACATGGTAGGATTTGCACTGATCATGCTAACCTTGCCAACGGGATTTATTGTGTGACCTACCGGTAAGAAACCGAATTACCTCACGAAGAATTCCCAGATGACCATCATAATGCAAAGGTCTTACCTCTGGTTGTGTCCCTCGCAGCTCTGCCTCGCCTTCGGGTTGGCACACATTCTACCTCTTTCCGAGATTTACGACGCACCGCAGTGGCCCCTTAAATATAAGGCATACTGCCCTCCATTTCCGTGTGTCTCAAGGCATTCAGAAAAAAAAATGAAGAGAGTGGGGCCTCCTTTTTCCAAACGGATCAAACAGTTTGGAAAGAGGGCGCCCTGTGTGATATGCATTATTCATAATTCTGTCTTAAACGTGAAAGAGCTGTTATACTATGAGGAATAAGGGTGTTAAATCGACGATGTTTGCCAGTGGATGTACAGACTGGTCGGAATTATTAAATCTGGACTAGTAATCTGACAGTCGGAGGTTCGAATCCACCCTGTCATATCTACTTTTTGATCTTGAAAATAACAAGTCAGGAAAAAACACTCTCACGCTGCTTAGAGCCAAAGTCAGGTTTGTGTGGTCAAAAAATATGCATTATGCATGTAATAGACCAATCATATGATGGAAAAACTGCCGTTTTGCTGTTACACATCGAAAAAAATACAAAATCTTAAAACAGCAGTTAAAATACCAATAACCTCATTGTTTTCTACTCAGAGTAAGCGTGCTTTACCAGGGCGGTGCTTGGCATCTCCAGCTACAGATAATTAAGACGCCGTAACTGCGGTGGCACCGCAGTCAAGAGAACATTCTTCAGCTTGACGCGCGCGTGCATTTGGCACAAGATCACGACACCTTATTGGTGGAAGAGGCGTGTAACGCGCGCGTACCACCTGTCCACGAGCGTTGTGCAACCGCAGTAATGGCTTCCAATTCCAGTTGCTGAATTACATATCTACAGATTCTCCATGAACGATGATCCCTTAATGATTTAGCTAAATGTTTTAGTTCAGAAATTAAAGAAATCATTTTCCAGAAATTATCGCAGTAATTAATAATTAATAATGAGAAAGCAGTCTCAGACCAGAACCACTTCTCTGCAAGATATTTCTTGATTGTTTCAATTGGTTTTGTAAGCAGCACAGCAGTAGACCTTGATGAATTTGCTCCCTACACAGAATTTGTAATTTTAATGTTGGATTGATGAATTTAGTCCACGTGAAATGTTATTAGATTTTTTAGCCCTTCATCGAACTGTCAAAATTGGGGGATATGAGACCGAGATATATATGTTTCTGCACGAAATCGGAAAAGGTAGCAATCTGTATTCTGCAGACTTCTTGCACGCGTAGTAATTCTCAGTCTCTCGGCGCGGCGCGGGAGAGCTACAACCGGGCAAATCTCCACCCTGGCGTCTTGCCGTGCCGCGCCGAGAGAGTAACTCTCCGGGTTGCGATCCGGTAAAAGTCCCCGAGGGACACAGTTACCGGGGGTGCGGCAGTTTTACCGTTAACAGTGGCAAATGTTATGACCCTTCTCCGTTGTTTGTGCAAGTTTGGGCCTAGTGCTCATGCTCAAAATGCCTAGCGCCTCAAAAAATAATACAAAATGACTGTTATGCTTTACACCACGAAACGTTTCGAAAAAACCCCATTGGCTTACTCCCACCGCTTGCACAACGTGATTGGCTAATTTCTTTGAGATGCATGACGCAATATCTTCGATCCCTCATTGGGTGGAATTCATCTGAACAATTCAATTTGCATATGCGTTAAATATGCATGATCATGACTAGGGGGAGCATGCAACCCATAATACTTTGCGCATTTTCACAATTTCTTTAATGAACAAGATTAATAACCTTTGTCGTTGGGACCCATTTAGAAATCTAAAAATCTACTGATTTTTTTCAGCAGGTTGCAGTGTGCTTGGGGACGTATAGTGTTTGTCTAAATTAAGAGGTAAGGTACTGTGCACCGCTATCTCTCCATACCATGTAGATTAATGGACTTTTTGGGGTTACATTGTGGTCAGTTAGAAAAAGATGTACAAAAGTGTCTCCTTTTCACTTTGGCCACTTCTTGCCACGCTTTCTCTTAGATGCTGCTCATCTCGTTGACCCTCCATCGAGAGAAGTTACAGGTTTAGGCGTTCGGAGAAGTTATGGATATTGCTAATCGATATTTTACACTATACGGTGACTTGCAACTCATGATTTGATCCAAGCAACAAATCTGAGGTCTATTGTTAGGCCTACAAACTTCGGAACTTCTACTCTGCTGTTAAAATATACACATGATTACAAACGGCTTTGCACGTCAATAGTGGTTTATTATTAACTAAGATTTCAATGCGAGCCATTTTGCGATGAAAAGTGGGTTATTTTCTGACAGTAATGCGTTTTGCGAGAAAGTTCAGTTTAACATATATATATATTTAAAATGTCACATTAGAGTAGGCTTTCCACTACAATATATCCAAGTTTATCATGCACAGTAAGATACATTATGTTGCATTTGAAGATGAAAACGTATAAACAAATCGAAGCACTGAGCTACTTTTTTTTAGCAAGAGCGCATTTTAAACTTCTATTGTATACAAGCTTTACTTGATAGAAGCGATTCATTGTTAATTAAAAAAATACAGGTTAATACTTTTAAGTTTGGGAAGTTGTAGATTATAAGTAACTAATTTTTGGAACCTTACAACTTGTTTGCTATAGCATAATAAAGAGGCAAAGCAAGGTGAATTTCACCTTGTATCTATTGTATATAAAAGGCCAACACCTCGAGTGTGAGTCAAAAACTGAACTTACACATTCTATTAATGCATGCATAAATATTGTTATACAATTACACAAACCTGTGCAGCCTTGCACTTGGGACTAATCAAATTATGATTAGCAATATTTATTACTATATTGTCGTGAAAAGTCCCCCGGATGGAGAGAATAAAACGACGAGATAGAGCCGCATGCCCTACAGTCTATATTAAAGGGACAATAAAATGGAATGTATTGTGTCATTAGATTGATTGAAAAATACCTCCAGGCCGCAGAAGCGTTTCCAATCGATGTCATTTTTAACGAATCAACTACACAGCTTCTGCAACAATAATTACTTCAGCAGCTGTGTATTCTGCGGCAACGATTCTGCAGCTTGAAGAGATTTATTTATTTTTTCAACCAATCGCGTAATACAATTTCACCCTTTTTTATAACTTATGCATTTTACGAATCCGTTTATTCGGCGTAAAGGGGAAAGCTATACCGAATGAGATGACAGGTTGAAAAACACAGCGCTTTACCGCACATGGTTAAATACACGGACCCCCCCCCCCGTAAAACCAGCACTGCGCTCCCAGACATCTTTCTGTTATGACAGGAATCGTTGCTATGGCCAGAGATTATCTCATCGTTGGTTTTCCAAAACCCAAATCAATGTAGTTACATTTTGGAGGAAAAGAACATAAATATGACATTAAATGGCACATTACATACATTTAGTGTAAAATATAAATGATATAACCTGGTAATCATTAACATGAGCGTTTATGCAGCTCATAGCTGAAGGATTACGCGCGGACCAATCAAGCAATCAATTGTCACAGAATCTATCTAAACTTTGTTAATTCATAGGTAAAAATACAACTTAAAAGCACTTAGACTCGAGTTATTAGACTAGCAGGAGGTTGCTTAAGCCAGCAAAATAGTTTTTGTGCCCTAAAATCCTTTTTGCCAAAGGATCAAAGAAGTTGAGGGATCCTGAACTACAAATCACCATGATGAGATTTTAAGCAAAACGCCTTGATAATGATAACAATAACCAGTATTTAAAACGCTCTCTGTAGTAACTAAATCACATCGCTTACAAAAAATAAACAGTCGAACAATTTCATGAACTTAATTAAATGGTCTAATAAAATTGACAATGGAAGTATTATATTATTATTATTATTATTATTGGTGAAACAGGCAGGTTTCAATCATTTTCTGAAATTGCTCCAATGAATGTGAAAGGGCAGACAGTGAGTGTTCTGTAGCCAGCTTTGTTGTGGGTTCGTGGGAAAATCAACCTGAAAAAATTAGGGTTGGAGGGTAGGTTTGGTCTAAAAGGAACATTCGGCATAATAAAGGACTGCATCATCATTCTAGTGACTGATTATGAAATGATTCGTAAATCAGTTAGTAATAACTTACAGGTTAATTCGTTTGGAGATGGGTAGTCAGTGCAGTGCATGCAGCAAAGAGATGGGATCCTGCCCTCGGTTTGTTGTGTAGATTAGACGAGCTGCTCAGTTCTGAAAGCTCTGGAGTCTTGTGAGATAACTTATTGGAATGGATGTGAAAAAGCCCGTTCCAATAATCCAACCTTGATAGCTAAGACTTCTGAATTCGTGTTGGCAAGTATTTTGATCGATGAGTTTTATCATTTTGGAAACATTGCGAAGATGAAACCGGACAACGCTGCATATGAAAATGTACACCAAGATTCATAGCCGATACTGATGGTTTCACAATTGCGTGACCCACTTCAAGTACATTTTTTGGAAGCCTGTTAAGGTTAGAATGTCATCCTATTAGGCCCTATGAGAAACTCAGTTTTTTCTACGTTCAGTTTCACTTCTTTACAATTCATTAAGATTTAATATCAACCAGGCATTTACTCAAAGTTCCAAGGGCACGGATGCTCTTATTCGGAGATTTGGGATCAAACGAAATATACAGCTGAATGTTATCAGCACAGCAAAGATAATGACACACCATCAAAATGGGTTTCGAAAGTGTGTAACTGGAAAAACGAAATGGCCCCAAAACAGAACAAAACAAAACAAAACAAAACAAAACAAAACAGAAATCCTGTGGCAGTCTTCAACTTACTTGGATAGGCTGAGACTTCTCGCCATGTATTTCTAATGTGGTTGACCAACTTCCAAGATCCTGAACACCAATTTTAGATGAGAGACAAGATCTTAATCTCTGTCTATTTTGTCGAAAGGTGTTGAATGATCTAAAAGTATGAGGAAGGTAACCCAATTGAAATCAAGGTCAGTCATAATGTCATTTTTTCACTTTTCTGCAGTCTCTGTACTGCAGTGGTGTGCCGTATATAATTGATGGAGATCCATCAGTTCGTGGGCTGCCATGTGGGCTATTCATCTGAAAAAGACAATTATTCTCAATGATATTTCCAAGAAATGACAGGTTAGAAAGCGGTCTGTAATTGCTGAGGATATTTTTTATCCACAGCCCTTTTTTCAAGAGAAGTTTGATGATGGCCAGGCGAGCTCCTTTTGGGAACACGCCATTGGCCAGAGACGTACTATATTACTATGAAAGTCGGAACTGGGAGGATATAGGTGCAATGTTTTCCTTTAAAAGCCAGATTGGGGGTGGATCGAGGTTACCTGACTTATTAGGGGAGTCCTGGATAAACCGTAAAAGCTCATTTTTATCAGCTAAATTGAAGTAAGACAATAGCTCGTAAATGAATAATTGCTTATCTGGAGGATGTTTGTGCAATTTTGTGTACTTTTGTAGAAATTTCATTTGTGGGTGACAATAATCTGTTTATTGGTCGTACAGGAGAAACCCACTGAATGAGATGTGGTTCCAGGAAGCACTTGAGTGCGCCCGGCCATTCATGGTTAAATACACTGTGTCTCCTCGCTGCAGAATCATTACCGCGCTGCCAGACACCTGAGCCTCGTGATCCGAATTAGTATTGGTGCCGGAAATAACCCAGTCGTTGTTTTTCGTAAGATGAACGTAAAGGTGGCGACCGGAACCTTTGCACACAGAAAATGTGAACACGTAGGTTCCTGAAAAATTGCACGTGAATGTACCAGTTGCTAGATCGAAGCTGGTGCCCGGCAGAAGCACCTGGGTCTCTTGGAAAGGCAAACGGGTTTGGTCACTCGAAGAACTAAATCCTTGTGACCTACTCACAGTGAATGCTACCCGGTGGTTGGAGTTATTTAAAGTCTCTCCGGGCTCTCCCTTTTGACCTTTGACACCAGCTTCCCCGGCTGGGCCGTCCAAACCAGGTGGACCTCTCGGACCAATCTTACCGGGCAGACCTATCCCGTCGTCCCCTTTCGGCCCAGGGGTCCCAGGAGCTCCCCGCTCGCCGACGGCGCCAACTGAACCAACCTCACCCTTTGTACTTGGCTCACCTGCTTCACCCTTAGGACCCGGCTCACCTGTGTCACCCTTTGGCCCCGCGAGGATTCCTGGGCTGCCCGGCAGGCCTGGTATGCCGGGTGTTCCAGCTGGTCCCTGGCAGCACATTGGACATACCCGAGACCCAGGACCATCACCGTCTGTGGGAACCGGCCCAGAAATGGCAGCTCGGAGCTTCATAAAGTTACCCAAAAGGATGGCGATCGAAAGGATGGTTGCAAAGCAGATTTTCATCTGTAAAAAAATAATAAATCGAACGAAGAGCGAGAAAGGGGAATTAAGGATTAAGATGAAGATAAGGAAAGATATAAAATTATTCAGGGTCTTGAAAATTCACAAGCCAATGTACATTGCAAGGCAGTGCATAATGAACCCACTTACACAAGAAGATGGTATAAATTTCACATGTGGGGCAGGTTATGCTGGACCATATCACGGCCAGGGTAGTCTTTGGTCAAGGTGCGTGTGATACAGGATGCTTAGTTGGTAACTCCTACTAGACCAATACGAGTGGCGAAACTAGAGGCTTCGGCACTCGCATCTTTTTTTTTTTTTCGTGTTACCAAGTACTTTTATCCAGGGTGCACGCGTGCTTGGACTGAAGGCTAGAGCTGGGGCGGTTCCCCCCCCCCAAAAAAAACCCTCTCTTGAAACTTATTGTACATTGTAAAGACACTCATTGTCAGCAAAAGTTTCAACTCAATCTGACATACAATTTGTCACGACTGTTATAGTCATTTAACGTTCAAGGCCACACCCGTGCCAATCCTCCCGCATTGAGCACATCAGTGGACATGTACACATTTTTTGCGTTCCTGTGTCGGGAACATGGCGCTGCGCGAGAATCGTTCCACACATTGGTGTCATAATAACTGCAAGTAGTTACTAAAACGCCCGAAAGGCTTGATTCTTAAAACAAATATTATAAAAAATCCACTGCGGCTATATCAGAAAAATGTTGATGGGACGAAATCCGACCCCAACTCTTTTTGGCAAAGAAACAAGTGTTACAATGCACTAGAGGGTGTTTAAAGTAATACCAGCAGTACCGAAATAACACCAACAGTTTTAACACCCATTAAAAGTGTTGGCATGGTCCTGATCCTCTCAAAACACTAGGTTTTTTTGCGATGCAGGTCAGTGCTGGTTTAAATGTGGACGTTGGCTTTATAAACAAAATCAGAAATAGAACAAAAAAGCTGTTAAAAGAACTAAAAGGACGTCCCAAATCCTTCTCAACACGCAACAGCTTTAATGATAGGGATACTGAAAGTGGAACTCGTCGTTACGGTAGGGGTAGTGCGGGGAGGGGCTTGTCCACCCCCCCCCCACCACCATTCTCCGGCCTTGCAGCCGGGCGTTCTAGCTTCCGCAAGGGTCCGTCTAGGTATGTGGTATTGCTCAACAGTACAACAGTATCAACTTTGCTGGTTTCATGCTGCATTATCAATGGCAAACGAGTAGCAGTGGTTCCATCCGGGATGGGGTTTTGCTTTCATCCCGTATTTTGTATAAGAAATCTTGCACGAACGTCGAGGGTTTGAGTTCCAACGGTTAGGCTCGTGAAGTTGTGATTTTGTCCCATGAATTCTCGGTTACCAATCAGCATGATCAACTGTAAGAGCCAAACTTTTGGGGGATCATCCCACAGCTGGATTCCACTTCCAATAATTCAGCTGTGCTACTTTTGATTTTTTTTAAACTTGGCATGCGGATAAAAAATGTTCCTTATAAGTAAGGAAGTCTTTGAAGTTTCAAAGTAATTCAATATATGAGCTTTGGTTATGCTCATTGAAGTTCATGGCCTCGAGCGTACCGGCTGCGTGCATCATAAATTCTGAAGGCTCAGCACGGGAAAATTCATTCCGACAAAAGTAAAAAAATATTGATGGAGGCGTATTACGCCTCGGCCCTTAATAGGTTAAATAAAAAGTGGATGTTGTCATTCGCTCCCTAAGATCCCACCTGTCCCATAATCAACCCCTTCGTTGCTCAGTGCCGGACAGTGGTGTTGAGATCATACATTCAATTACAACTCTGTTTTCAAATGTTACAAATCTTAGTTTTTTGCCTCAGAAAGTGTCTCTATGCTGTGTCAAAGCTGAAACGTTTGCCTTTAATATATGTATCCAGAAAGGTAAGTCAAAGTATCATGCACGGTTTGAGGTTAATGGTGAGAGTGATCCGACGCATCATACCCCAAACAGTTGTGTTTTTATTGTCATAGAGTTCCCAGAAAGAAAGCAAAATTGTTAAAATATTATGCATCCCCTACGGGGGGAAATGGAAGAACAAAGGCGAAATGGTTTTTCTTGGGGTAACATTTTATCAGCTTTAAACGTTTCTTTTCAAAGTAAAAATGATGTCTTTCAAACAAAATGAAGGGCGCAGGGTTGCACCCCCTGTCAAAATTGTCGCAAAGGGAAATAACTCTCCGCTGATTTCTACCAGTTTACTCCTGAATGCTTTGCCAGCCCCCGGACAATTCTGGCTACGCCCATAGGGTTGCATCATAACTTTGGTATCAAACCGACACAATCAATGATTAGTTATTCTCACACGTCCCCCAGCTCAGACGGTATTAATCATTGGTGCCTTTAATAAGGGATGGCAAGGAAGGAGACTGTGCGTTCAATATTTCAACTGATAAAAAGCGAGGAAATGAACACATTTACCTTGGTGGTGTCTCGCTCCTTACGTCAAAGGCCCAAAGAAATCTTAGTGCGTCTCGTTCAATGTAGGCTGAAAATAATATCAAGTAAATCAATAAATCTTTGATCTGTAAAATTGATTGCTGTAATAAACAAACTATGCACAAGCTCTACTAACAATACAAACACAGAATACGGCTCTGAAATTTATACTGCAGCAAGTAGTACCATGTTCGTAACAAAATGAAAAGGGTTGTGTACGCAGACAGATACAGACTAGTGTGGTCCCGAGGAGACGACATAACTTCGGTGGCATCGTACATGCGCGTTCCAAGGTTTGACGCGCGCGTCCATTTTGTACATAACATCACCCTATTAGTAGAACGAGTCAGACTCAGATTATCCCGAACCTCACGATTCCTAAAGTCCTTTCCCACCTCAATTTGCACTTGTAACTCTTATTTGTACAGATTTTCTTACAATACATTCCCCTGGCTTTTGAAGAATAATAGTGATTATGTTAATTCCTTTAATTAATGATATTAATGTATTTTTTCCAACACCTGTGTAATTTTGTTATAATATGTGAAAGCAAAAAAAAAACAAATATCCTTTTCTGCTTGCATATTAGGACAATAAATACAAATTGTACTGAACTGAGCTGAAGAGGCGTGTAATGCGCGCGTACCATCTGTCCACGAGCGTTGTTTAACTGGTTTCTAATCCTGTTCGCTGACTTACATTATATGCATTAAATTTTCCTGTTCATTTAGCATTGATTACACGTTTGTTGTAAAAACAATCCACAGTTTGTTCCAACATTTTGATTGAGCCAAACCGTAACATTTGATGTCAGTAATTTTTAGACTTTAATTAAAGAGTACCGAAGTGAATACGTCACACGCACAATTAGTGTGTAAAAGGCATTAGCGCGAGAACCAGCGCGTGAACGAACACGCGCGCGTACTCATTTTGTTTGCACTGCACTTTCTGGTTTACAGTGACGTCACACTTCGGCACTCTATAGTGCGCAGCGTGCGGTCTTTTTGACTTATAAGCATTTTAAAATGTTTTTCCACCCTTCTTCTTCTGAAGAGAGTACTGGAAAAATTAGGTAAGGTCGGTTTCTGTGATCTGAACTTTATTTTTTACAGAAATAGGAAAACTTTCCAAGATCATTATAACAGAATGCTATGAAGTTAGATATTCATTTAAAAGAAATTATACATTTTTCATATATGACGAGATGTGGATATAGTTATCTTCTTGACGTGGGACTTTGTCGCTGCCCTTCAATTTTCAACCATAATTAATGCACAGGTATGTATTTGCCTTTGTACCTTATCAGTTTAATGACAGGCACACTCATAAAGCAATAAGTATGTGCTTGGCCAATCTGAAAGGTTTGCTAAAGACCAACCCAGGAGAATGGACGAATGCATGCCAATGCCCGATCCGTGGACGGGGGCGTTATCGACGTCCCTTCTCCTGAGCCTTTTGTTCGGCAGTTTAATTCATTTTTTTCAAACACACCCCTTTAGTCATGTCATGGCAAGTTCCTATGCCGAGCAGCTGCAATAGGCGCGAAAGCTCTGGAGTGCCGTCAGGGATAAATTTTCAAAACGAAAACAAATAGTTTTTACGAGCTCTATTTTTCCAAGTTCGTTTTTAGTAGATGTTTTTAAAGTTTTTTATGAGTTATTTTTTTAAAGTTTGTTTTATGAGAAAGAAATCCAAACCTGACAATTTATATCTCCTGAAAATTAACTTAGAAAAATAAATTTCATAAAAACAAACATCATCGGAAAAGATATCTCGTAAACAAAAACTTTAACCCCAAGGACATTCTTGGAGGTAAAAGTATCTTCCTGTCTGGTATGTGGGATAATTTATATTGACTGTGAAATCTATCAACAGCGACGACAAGCGACTTCCCGGCCGAGATATTTCTTGCTTGAGAATTCAGACAATTTTCAGTGACTGATTTCAGTGACAGTAAAGGTTGCGGGAAATCCAGCCGAAATGTATTCATACGAATCCCTCGTGTCACAACCAAAAAAGTGATTTATTCAGTCTTCAACGAAGTTATTTTTCCCCTGTAAATCTTAACATGCAAAATGCCCGGTTTAGGTCGGAATTCAGAGAAGAGCAACAACGACACAAGTGTTTCTGCAATATTCAACATCCGTTCGACCGACCTGGTAATGCAAAGCACGTAAACAGAAATGCATTGCCAAGAACGTCAGACACTTTTAAGTCGCCCTTGAACTAGCATTTAGTGACTTGGGCTCAAACAACAAAAAAACTTTGGATGGGAATAAAGATTTCCACAATAACAGATCACAATTGGCCATATTTTAAGCCACCACACCGAAATAATGTACTAAGTGCACATGCGCACTTGCCTTCCTTTATTATTTCAACAATATTTCAGAGTCGAAATTGTACTCCGATTTTAACTCTTAAATAAAAAAATCCGAGACATTATGCTTCATGCTTCTGGAAGGGAATCAAATAAGTTGAATTAGGCGCCTACATATTTTCACGGTGTATAAGAACCACACTTGTTCTGACAGTAGTTTTGATTAATGGTACTTACTTTGTAATTTCTAACTTGTTTGCAATCTGCTCTCTCACGATGCCGTCTTCGTCTGCAGCTTAAAATGAGCGGTGCTCGTTCTGATGAGTGGAGCGCCCGCTCGTGCCTTTAAACTGGCCAGTCATTTCCTGAGCAGTGACTGGTGAACTTGGCCTGGAGTTTGATTGGCCCCTGCAAGCTGTCACTCACAGACATCACCGACACTCGTGTCCGAAGTGGGCTGCGTCTAATTGACGAACATTACCTAGATGTCAGTGGTACATTAATAATCATGCTCTTCATTGATTGACGTGCGCGGACCTGTCAGTCACAGACCTCTCACTTCTGATCACCGACTTGTTGGGTGATTAACTGTGATTGGTGGATAAAAAATGACGTGCCCAGCCGGTGCGTGATTCATTGAGCGGTATCCTACCCCATAGCACAAAAATACTGCGTAGTCCAGGTGGTCGTGACCGGTAGTCAGGTCACTTGTAAGTCGGAGGAAAATTTATAACACCAAACTTATCCACTGACTACAATAGACTTTATCATGAATCGTTTGAATCCTATCAGGTCCAATTTCTAATTCGACGTATAGTTGCAAGTGACATTGGTGCCTTGGCACCGTATTGAATCAAGAGTTTAAATAATATAATTTGGTCAATACAATTAAAGGTTAGCGTTGCTCCTTTGGGCCTTTTTTATCACACGAATATCTCCAAGAGTTTTGCCTAAATCCGATTATTAACAGACAGTGTAAAGAAAATGTATTCCCGATTCATAACATGATCCTTTGACTGTAAACTGCCACTTGCTTCGTTGAATGACTTGGCTGGGGCTGGTTCATGTATACAGTCACCTTTGTGCAGTCCAGGAAGCCGCTGGCTAGTTGCTACCGTAAGCTCGTGTAATATTTTCCAGCCGTTGCCAAGATCAGGGCTTGTCGATGTGCAATGCCCGTTTCGGTCGATCAATTCTGAATGACAGGCTCGTTCAGTTGTAAGGCAACCTTGGGAACAAGTAACTTGGTCAGATCTTGTCCGAAGGAGTCGTTTACTTCACTCGACATTGAGCACGCGAACCCGTTTGCTTTTCACAAAAAAAGCACTTCTCCACCTGAATAACGTGGAATAAGTAAGCCTAGGAACAAATTCCCACAATGTGGAATCTTTTGCGAGTGTTAAGTTTTAGACTATTTTGTCTCAAAAAAAAAGTGGCTAACTTAGCCTTTGAAAATAATTGGATGGCTACTTCGCCTTAGAAAATAAATGAAAAAGTCTCCTTTGTGTGTGTTTTTTCTTCCCTTCCAAAATAAAGAAAACGAGTTTTTATATCAAAAGGAAAATAAATCGACCACCTGGGTACAAATAAAATAAGATATGAAATGCCGTCGTTGTAGCTCACCAGAATATATTAGGTGTATACTACTGCCAAACAACCCACCTCACCACAACAACATACGTGAAGAAAAGGATGAAAATATAACAACTGCAATCACCAGAACGAAGCAGAGGAACTCGGAGTAGTGAAGTGACCGCTGCCACCATCAGCAACGCAGGAAAGAAAAAAGAGAGGGCCGCGTGGCAGTAGGGGCTATTTAAAAGGAAAGTGGTGACGCGCTTCACCGCTCATGTTACGTAATAAACGAAAAGGCAATGAAAGAAATTCGACTCGGGGGCTACTACAAATCCACTGCTAACATTCCCCATTCTTCCCAAATAAACTTACTTCTCTGCACGGTGATTCTGTGATATCAATCACATTATATAAATGGAGACTTTGGACTGTAACAGGCATGTACATGAACAACAAAAAGATGGCTGTTTCAAGATGTTTGGTCTCACTGGCCTCATCAACACTTCCCTGTAAAAATTCGTTCCAGAGCATAATGTCCCCCACTCGGGGGATTTTAGGTTTGTTTTTGTTTGTTTGGGGGATACTTCTTTGAACTTTTCAGCCACGTGTCATCTTGTCATGCTTTCTTGTGGCAATCTTGCCGAGAGCCATTTTAATAGACACTAAAAGGAAAATTATTTTTTTAAATTCTGGTTAACCATCTCAATAAAAACAGGCGGAAAAAAACAAATCTGCTTCAAGCACTCGTTGATTTTTTAAATGGATTACATGGTTAACCTTATATATCATACCCATAGTTATCCTCAGACACAGCAAGGATATCTGATCCCATTTTCCTGATTATTGTTTACGTTAACAGCCTTTTGAGCTAATGGAGATGAGAGGTCTCAGAACTCAGTTTCAATGAAAAGTTAACTTTGTAATTTTTCCAAGGGAAAACACCTGCAGTTTAGTACCCTGACCGTCATATTCAGAAACAAGTGCTAAAGTGAAGTGTTGTAAAATTTGCCAGGCCACAGTACCTAATTCTGTTGATAACATCCCTGATTATTGGATATGTACTTGATCCAACACAACTCTCTGTAATTCAAAGAACGGATGAACTATTGTCATCTATCAGTGTGTACCAGACATTCTCATGACGTCAATCATTAAAGGTCTAAGGTCAATTGCACATGGCTTGTAATTCAACCGAATGAAAGCAGGCATATTACACATGTAAATGATTGTTCCAAACTTGGCAGTTTCTTCTGGGCTGTTTTCCATCCAGGGGTCGTGCAGTCTGCATCTGCCTTGTCCCGCACATTCTCCCCAAGGGTCAAGTTGTCGCAGCCGTACTCCCCACCCCCAAAGAAGCCCACCAGGGGCGTGTCAGGAAAAACCTCGTGAAAGGCCCCGCTTTCAACGTCCTCTGCCTTGTAGAAATGGCGCCCTCGGCCCACGCAGCTGAACACAAAGGCCAGGCTGCGCTTCTCCGACAGGCCGACTTTCTTCAATTCCTGGAGTTTCTGACGGGCTTTCTCCCAGGTGGTGATGCTGTGGTTTAGAACAAGGGATGCTGCCTTCACCCTAGCTCCTGAGAATGCCACCGTCATGCAACTTGGCAGTTTCTTGGAGCCTGTTCTCCTACAAGAAATACATTGAAATAGTTTTGATGCAACACGGATTAAACAAGTGCTATTCCACCTGACTCCTCGAACTCAATCCTGAACGCAGGCATAGGACATGCCTCCATTCAGGATTGAGTTAGACACGTTTAATCCACATCCCTCGTAAATATTTTGTTTTCAATTTGAGGTTTACCAAGTATTTTCACTGCTGTCTGGTACACATTTTCACCAAAAATATCACACTGTTTGTTATGGATGTGAAAATGGATTTTACATCAACCCCATTAAAGTTAGCAAACCCACCAAATTTTAAAACAGGAATTGAAGTGCTAACACTTAGGACAGCACTACCACAGGCAGATCTAGGAGCGGGGCCAATATGGGCCATGACCCCCTTCCCCTAGAATACATTGTTTGTTTGTTTTTTCTAAATATAATCACAAAATGGTTATTTTAGGGGACTTTTTCACTCTCTTTCTTTCCAAAAACAAAGCATTAGATCTTACCCATCAGAAAGGCCATTCAAGGTTTCATAAAGAAACTTTTTTGGCCCACCCAAATCAATGTTAGCTCTCCTTCCCTATGCAAAAAAGTGGTCCTTGATGTGTCTTTGGGAGCTACCGCCTTTCTTGGGGATAGACGTTGGATGAAAAAAATCAAATTGTAAAAAAAATTGCTTTAAAAAAAGAAGAAATTGTGCAATTGCCCCCCGACTCAAAATGTGGATAAGCCATTAGGCTACACGTCTTACCTGTCGACAGGCTGACCTGACACTTCCATAATCATCTCCTTCGCTATTCCTCCAGCTATGACGGGCATCGTGCCCAATTCACTGTAGAAGCCTCGCTGTAACGGTTCAACAAGGGTCCCGTGAGTTCCCCCATTACTGAAGACCAGAATACAGCAGGTGTCGGCAGGCAGGCTCAGACTCCTGATGTAAGAGTCAACCCGCGATCCGACCAGGTCGGAGTGGTAGTGTCGCCGGCAGTCGACCGTCACACCCTCCATGTTGGGCAGCAGAATGCAACTGGTGCCCCAGGCGCCTTCGGTTTCTCCAGCTGGGGACAGATCAGCCTTGCACCCTGCAAGAAGGGCCCGGTTCATATAAGTAAAAGTACAATGTAGCTACATGGTTTTCCCAAGATCAGCAACTGCAGTAGACAAGCGTTTGGTTAGTAACCAATAACTTGTACATGGGAAACAAGACAGTCAGGTTCTTTTTGTGTCAAAGAACTGCAAAATTCCATCCACTCCGAAACAGGAATAAGAGATGGTGTGCTTTTACAAAACAACTGTGGTTCTTTGCAGGGAACTTACCGCATGCGTGCACATTTAATGAATGTTGGAACGGACGTGTAGAGTACGTGTGGCCAATGTTTGAATGTACTGTCTTTGCATGCACACAGGACTTGTGTGATGCGCGCAGTAGTAAAACGCCACACCAGCCTGTCTTGCCTCTGCCCATGAGGGTGTACTTGAAGTTCAGGCAGATGTCAGATTGCATTATGGGCAAACACACACATCACGTATGGTTGCCATTGGCTACTGGCTCCACATTTTTTGAGTGCTTTTTATCATTAACCCCAACACTCCTCAGTCCTCCAACAGGTGAAGGATTGAGGAGGGTTAGGGTTAATCACAATTTGGAAGGTTTGCCTGCTATCTAAATAATGTGCACAGCAAAATGGTCTTTGCCTAAGACATTGGTGTTTGTATATCAGGTCACATCTATCATCTGTCAGAGAGACCACTCCATGAAATTGAAAACGCTGAAGTCTGTGAAGAATGTTGTATGGAGACTGAAGGTTGATATCCCTTGGATGTTGTGATAACAGTACTACAATGGAACTGCAGATGTAATGGGTAGCAAATTAGCAATGCCAATAAACCTGTTACAAGTCAAATGCATCAAGAAGTGGCTTTTTAGAACATAAAGGTGACTGTGTTGTGTCTCTTCTCTACAAAAATGAACAGTCGTTAAATATTCAGCAAAAACTTGTAAGATGCCTCCAAAGAACAGTTTTTAAAAATTGAAAGTAATGACTTGCAGATGATTGTCAAGGCTTTTCGGGAAAGTAACCTAGCAAAAAAATTACACAGTTCATTTTCACGACATAATAAATAAAGGATGACACCAAAAACATAAGGACTGCAGCAGAGAGACGAGGAAGAAAATTACCCCCACGGCACCACCCACTAAAAGGAAACTATTTTGAGGCTGACCAACCCACAGTAAGCCAGAGCAAGCAGAACATATGATTACAATTTAAGGTATCCTTTAAGTTTGTACAAAAAAGCAGACAGAGACTCACAAGTCAACATGTTGACTATATCGTCAGCATAAGTACTCCAATTCCTGACAAACATGCAGGGAATTGAGTATTTGAATACATCAGTGCGAGCATACGGATGGTGAAACTGTAATCTGGTATTGGCATGTCTGCTGTTAACATTAATTAAACTCAAAAATGAGGGATGAAAATCGCATGAACTGCCAAAAAGCAAATAGCATGTCTTGAAGCCTTCAAAAGGTTCCATTGGGGAGGGCCCATGTACACTCTTTTTACCTGACCTTTCTAAGGGCATCAAAGCCAAAATGGAACTTCATAAAAGTAACTGGGCTCTGCCTTCCTCAGGATTGTGACATCTTTGAAACTCAAGTGTGTGTGTGTGGGGGGGTCACTGACGACTGGGGAGAAGAATGGTTGATGCTTGGCAATGCAGCTCACCCATTGTGCCGTCTGAGTGAACAAATACGACAGAACTTCCGAGTGGTAACCTGGATGACACGGCTGTCACCGATTCCTGAAGCAATCTTCTGGTACCGCCAGGCCGGAATTCGTCATCGTCAAAGTCATCGTCCTTCTGGAAGTCTTCCAAAGACAGGCATTCTGAGAAGACGATGGCCTGGTGGGGTAGGCTACTCAGCATCTGCAAGAGAAACGAAAAGTGGACCGACAACACATTGTACAACTTTTGCGCTTTGAAAGAATGGACTAACAGAATTTTTCACCTCCCCTCTGCCAAACCAAAGCCTCGGGATGTGAAAATTATCAAGCACAGCAATTATCTGCTTAGCAAGAACTGGCCGAGATATTGTGCATTTCACATCTCTCATGGCTGGTTCTGAGCTGATTTTTGCTAAGAAATGCTTTCTACTCATTAACTCTCTGAACTTCACCCCTCGAAATGCTAAGGGACGGTCTCAAGAGTTCAGAGGCTCGCACTCCATTGGATGATTCCCACTGGAATGCTCACGTTCCATTAGGACATTCCCACATCAAGACAACAGACCACTTTGTGCATAACAGATGATGCATCATTGTCACTCACACTGAGGCAAGCGTTCAAACGGACTCCGAACCGTCCAAGTTGATCTTTGGATCTGTCCTTAGTCCCCTTGTCAGCCTCCCCTGCCTCGAGTCTACCCGACGCTGCCCATCCAATCTGGTCTCTCTGATGCAAGACCCGTTTCACCTCTCTGCACCAAGCTTTACACACCCTGGAGAATAACCACGCACGTGTCTTGGTCAGAAAATATCATGGCTACAGTTTGTCGGATTAAGTACATCTACTGTGTTTTCTTTTTAGTGGGCTATTTCTCATAGATGAGAATTGTGGGGCCTGGACATGCTGGATGGGCCAAATCGGAGATGGAAAGAGAAAGCAGAATACATATACGTTACTCACAGAGCTCTGAAAAAAGACTGAAGTGTGCGTGCTAAAAAAACTCCAACAAACCACAAGCAGTGTATCTCATCGTTACAAATTCATCAAGAAATTCATGATCAAAATTGGCTTGAGTAACAGGCTATCACAAGTATCCAGATGCCACGAGAATTAACCGGTAAACTATCACAAGTCACAGAGCAATGACATGCTCAAACTAGACTGAAATCCTGCCATATGGATGGATCTTGACCCATGAACTCGGGTGCCGTATTTCTTGTCTCTATCATCTTCAATGAATCACTGGAGTGATCAGTCCATCTGTGCAAGGACCTGATCTTCGAACAATCAGTTGATCTTACTGGAAGAGTGTTTTGAAAAAAGTAAGGTGGAAGATTTCATTCAGGATTAACAGTGTGAAACATGGGTTATTTTCACCCCCATGTCGACCACGGCCACTCTAAAGTTTTTGTCAAGTGAGAAATAGACGCCCTGCATATGATTCAGAGGGCATTTCTTTTTTCCTCTAGCCTAAGCTCGAGTAAACCTTTTGTACATTCATTTTGATTAAATTCAAATCCTGCACCGGTCAATTTCTTTGTTCATCTTTATAAATTAAAATAACACAGAACAGCCTCTGACTCCGCCTTCACGCAAAGGGTCTATTGCATGAACCATACTCCCCCCCCCCCCCAATATAGGCGATGCATACTGAGCACAAATTCCCAGAGTTTTGGCCGGTAAAAATGCAAACGTTCTCAGGATAAACTCGTGGCTCTCCGTCAGAATCCAGCAACTAGCCGCTTCGGGCGAGTCCTCTCTTCCGATGTCCATCCCTTTTCCGATTCTCCTGCGTATTTTCTTCATTAATTCGTAAGCATGGTATAGGACGAGAGTTGTTTACAAATGTTCGGGCTGACAAGTGTTCAAGGACAGATGATTATGGAATCAATAAGTTCAAAGGTCACACACGTATCACCAATTCATCACGATCTCTCTTGATATTTTCTGACATATTTGTAGACCAGATGCGATAAATTCTTTTCTTTCTAATTCTATTTCTATTACAAATATTTTTAAAATAGGTTCTATGTGCAGAATTTGAAAAATTATGTCGTTTTAATTTGGTTTTTAAAAGCATATGTTTGGAACGAGTCATGTTGTCAGAGAAACCATATGTGCGCCGCCATTTTAATTTCTGTAAAACACTCTTCAGCCGGGAGTTGGACAAAAATGCCTTTATTGCCCGTTTCGGCGAATGTAGAGCAATACTTTTGGAGAAGTGAATACATAGAAACATTTGAAAGCCTTCAATCGGTATAATGGGGCATGGAGCAAGCACGAACGTCAAGAAACTAACGATCACTCAGAGCAATCGCAGGTCACTGTCGAGCGATCGTCTGCAACATGTGCAAGCAGCTGGTACAGAGGAGGGAGCAAGGGCGCCTTCACCGGCTAAACTCGGGTAATATAATGGAGCTTAAGAATAGGCCTTTATAGGAGATCCCCGTTTTAATTTTTGCAACGGCCTCATCTGTCCCAAATGACGTTTGAAACCTCAAGTAAGCCTCGTCTGAAATGAAAGTTGAGGAGTAGGGCTTAGGGCTAGGCTAATTCAATAAACCATTTCGATGTTTCGGGCGCGCAAGGAATTCTGGGATTGAATTTGGATAAATAAAACCCACATGGCATAGCCAGCTGGCGTTTCGTGCATGGGAGTTGTGCAGAAGCATGTGTGAAGATCAATCAGCTGTACGAAGTAGTTGAACTAGTATTAAACCTTAAAGTTTTTTAACAACCCACAAAGTCAGTTTTGCTTGGATCACGGCTTGGACAAAAATGGGACTTTTGTGAGATATTTCCAACTGGATCGGCGTGCGTGTTATGGTCCACGATGTACGTGTACAATGGTAATGTACTGCTGTTGGAAATTTTCTCATGCGTATTTTCTTACGCATTTTACCCGTAAACAGGGCCCAACGAATACTCTTTATAGGATGAAGGATCTTAATTATGAGCCCATGTACATAGGCCTACAGTGCAGTGTTACTGTATGACCTCGGCGTAGGCCTACAAGTACAAGTACGAACAATGTACGAGTTTTTAATTGAGTTATGTTCATCTTTCTGCAGTGATACGAATGTTAAAAAAAAAAATTGAGGAGATTATGAGGTTACCTGTTGTACATATCCAAGGCACACAGTATAGCGTCCTTTTTCTTTCGCAATTCAATGTGAATTGGAACGGGTATTCGAAAAACTTACTTACCACCCACTGCAAAACGTGCGTTGCTATGGAACCGTGCGGTTTGTTTATCCAAAAAAAGGGTTGTCAAGGCCGGTTGGCACATGCGCGATCGAAACTTCGAAATGGCTTATACTTCATTCAGTCTACAGTAGTACAGGGCCGGATCATGCTATTTAGCATGTTTAGGATCAACAAGTGTCAACGAGCGTCAACAAAGCATCAACAAGTTATTCAAGCATAGTTATGCACAGATTTTTTATATAAAATGGTAATTAAGATTCAATATATTATAGGGGGCCTGTCTATCTGAAATGATATTTGAGTGTGGAAATTTGAGTGACAGTGGCAGGTCTGGATTGCAGAGGAAAAAAAGATGCCGGCCCCATACATCATGAAAAATTTTCGTTATCCTGCGAGTATCTGGTGTTTCTCTTATACAGTGGCAAGTGTTAGAGTCTCTAAAATATAATAAAACAACTTTTAAATCTGTAGAGGATATTTTCAAGTTGTTGACGCTTGTTGACGCTAAATAGCATGACCGCTAGGGCCTAGTACTAGTTGTAGGGCCTACATGTACTTGTCAACATTCAGCAGTGGTTAATCAATAGGCTTATACAGTAGAGTCATAGTGGTTATCACAGTTATACCCTAGCTCTACCCAGTGGATTGTTTGTCGTACCGCTCCATCGTACCAACGTTTCACTCAGTAGAGCTAGTACTAGCCAAAACTCAATACTTTTTAATCTTTACTTTTCTTCTATTTATCTTCATTGAAGGTGGACCAGATCAAGCTCAGATGGTTGTATTGTTGAAAACTTGAACACAAGTAAAACAAAGGTAGGCCAGTGGCATACACAAACATACACACATGACTGAAAAAGCATGTGTAATGATGCACTTGCTTTCGTTTGTCCCTTAGTGTTGTACAAACTGCTTGGAGTTATTAATTATGTTACAAGATGTCCACAAAACTTTAATCTGTGTCTGTTAACCCTAACCCTCCTCAATCCTCCAACAGGTGAAGGATTGAGGAGGGTTAGGGTTAATGGAAAACCTATACGGTTTGATGCTAACAGAATGAAACATGGAAATATTTTGCAGTGTAGTGGGACCTGGCCCCAGAGAAAAAAACACAAATATTTCTCATGATTTTGTAGGTTGAGCTGTTGGAGCTGCAAGTGGAAGAATTCAAAGAGTTGTTCCATTACGCTGAAGAGAAGGCAAACGAAGCTCATGCCAGGGCTCAGACTCTGGAGCAGCAGGTAGGACACGGGGGTGGGCACCAGAGTTGACACTTGGATGGACAATGATGGACACTGCACTGGACCGTAGGCAGGACTTTGGGGGAGAACATTTGTGGGCACTCAGGCGGACAATAAGATCAAGTTTAGTATTAAAATAGTTCAGTGTAGTATGGACATTTTGGTTGACCTTAAAGTGAACATTTGGGTAAAAAATTAGGGTGAACACAAGATTGAACATCGGAGCAAACACGAGGGTCAACAGCTTGACACTCTGGCAGCCACTTGGGTGAATTTAAGGGTGAGTTCTCACCCCCAATTTTTACTGAGTCCAAATTTGCCTTTACTATGAAAAAAAATTTTTCATCACAATGCATTGCTGGACAGGAAACCAGTATGAACATAATTGTGGACTTAGAGTGATCGCAGCTGTCAACAGGAGGGTGGGCACAAGGGTCAACACTAGGGTGACCTCCAGGTTTTATTTTGTTCAGAAACATTCTCAAACTGTTTAATTTACAAAGTAAAAGTGACCACAGTACTCTATCACATTTGAAAAAGTTCACGTCTTTCTCAGTGATCAAGATTGTTTATTTTGGTGACTAAATACTGCATGCAGACGTTTTCAATATGCAGCATTAACGGAATTGACTACGTGCAAAGGATTGGCTTTTTCTGTTTTAAAATGTCACTATAAATGAAACATGCATTCTCGTCGTCACAGATGGCAGAAGTTGAGGGTGCCAACTTTGAGCTTCTAGATCGAGTGTCCGAGCTTGAGCAGCAGCTGGAGGCGTCCAAGGACCAGACATCACCCGAGGCCGAACAAGAGTTTTCGCGGATGTTGCTGGAAAGAGATCAAGTGAGGCTTCTGTTTATGCATGAGCAGGCATTATATTGATACCTCATTTTCGTAGCTTTGATCTCACTTGCCAATTTTATTTTACCAAGCTTTGATTTTTGTCTGCAAGAGCTTCTTCTCGTCTGGCTGGAAGCCAACATTTTGCAGGACAGTGGAGTGTCTAGAAGTTTTTATAATTGACTTTTGGGATGTACTTATTTCCACAGACTATTGAGAAACAGGTGCAGCAAATTAAGAGTTTGGAAGAAGACTTAGCAAAAATGGTGAGTTTCTCGTGACGAATAATATCACGAGGCTTTGGTTGTCTTTCGAAAGATGAGATTGACCTTAAGGCTTAAATTGTTCACAAGACAGAAATAAGAAGTGTACAAACCCAAGTTAAAGAAAATCAGGCAGATCAGCATTTAGTTCTTTGATCTGAGTGACATATCCACCCTGAGTTGAAGTGCACCGTCATTGGCAAAAGAAAGACAGACTGGTACAAATTTTTTCCACTGTGCTCTGGTATGCATTCGGTATGCACGCAAAGACCAAACATTCCAGCAAATATTTGTTGTGTGTACTCAGCGTGCCCCACGCCAAACGCACATATACTTGTGTGCCTGTGCGGTGAGTCCTTACCATAGGACTGTCAATTTCATTTCAAAAGACGCCCTCTTTCGTTCCCACTTGGAGCAGATTATTAGTTGCCACCTTGTTTGTAAATTCCACCCCCCCACCTCTCCACCCCCCCATTTCAGCGCACCAAGCTCAGGAAGAAGCTCCGTAGTGCCCAAACTGAGCTGGCGGAAGCCAAACAGGAGGCTGGCCTCAAGGTCTACAGCCTCAAAGACCAACTAGCAGTGCTGCAAGAGGAGAACGCTAAACTGAGTGGTGAGTCCCACAGAGATGCGGCGTAGTTCCCAAAACCATCAACATATTTGTCCAGGCATGTGGATCAGATGTCTTAAAAACCGTATACCATGCAACAAGGCATCACATCCAAAGTCACCTCACGAGAAAAGTCAGGAACTTTTCAAAGCTGCAATTGGCATTAGCTGAGATCACTCAGGCAGGGGAATATAGGGGAACTTACTGGGCCTTTACATAATATCTAAGATATAGAAGCTTTGCATGGTAGTCATCTTGCTTGGTATTTTTTTCGTTTCTGGGAAACCTCCTTTGTGCATGCCCATTTGAATGAAAGAACTGTCGTGTAAGATGACTACCATGCAAACCCTTATTGATAGTTGGAAAGAGCCACCAACATGGGGCTGAATGGCTCAGTCAGTAGAGCACTGGTATGGTTTTCCAATGATCCCAAGTTCAAATCCCACTCCAGTGTCTTGTTCATCTTTTTGTTGAGTTACTTTGTAAGCACTTTATAGTCAGTTCAGCTGTATGGCATATTGGTCGGGGGGTTCAAGTCCAACCCTCGTAAAATTGGCCCATGGTCACCAAAAAAGAACTCAGGAAATGGCGGAAGCATTGTAATGTACCAGCAATTGTAACATTACTTGAAGCCTTCCATCATCAACAACCGTTATTAATTTCTAACTCTCAAAGCATAAGCATTATTAAAGTCAAACCCTATGATCCATGGTATTCGAGCACAGGTATCCCTTTGCCTGTCACATTTTAGCCTGTGAGCTCTCTTACGAATTTCTGAATGATTTTGAATTGATAACAGTCTTGTTGTGCAAATGTACATCTGCAATTCTAGAACGTCTTGAAAGAGCTCATGCCATCTCCAGTGCACAGAGTCGGCAGAATAGCGCTGCTACAGCCACATGCGACGATCGCATCCCAAGGGACATGCCCACGGAAGAGGAGTGGGAGGATGGCCGGACCAAGGTCATCTTGGAGCTCTCCAGTCAGCTGAGCAGCCAGGAGCAGAGAATTGTTGAGCTGGAGGAGACGGTCCGAGAGAGGGAGGAGACGATACAGGCCCTGCAGGTGCAGCTGCGGTCCACCCCGCGCCCTCCCAGTGGGACGCGGACAAAACAGAGCTTGGCCGCCCGGTCATTGAGTGTAGAGAAGCAACCTGAACAGCTAGATGATCTGTCTAAACAATGGACGGCTGGTAATGATGGTAAACGTCAGTTATCAATCAGACAGCAAAGAACTTCATCATCATCATCATCTAAGGGGAGGGAGGGTCGACGGAGCTCCTCCACTGGCAGACATCCGTCTTCAGGAAAGGAGCAGGTGATGGGCGGTGCAAATGACAATCTCAGGAATCATGAACTCGCTGCAGGTGGTAAGAAGGTCCGGCAACATTCCGCCAACAGTGTGGACTCGGCAATATCAGATCGCAGTGACTCCAGCAGCACAAAAGCCTCCTCGGCCAGCTCCAGCCGGGAAAGACGACGACGCCGAAATCAACTGTCTAGGCAGTCTTCAGCTGATGAGAGAGAACTGCAAACACGATCCAGGGCTCCGTCCGATGTCCAAGTGGAAGGGAGAGATTCTGGAATAGGTGTAACATCTGAGGGGAAGTCAAAATACAGTGATGACGTGGAGCAAATGATGGACGACATTGTGGGAAACAGTTGACGGCAACTTTTTCTGTCAAAAGTCCAAATTTCAAAAACTTCCATCCAAAGCTATTGACTATAGTACCTGCTGCCATATCAGATTCCTACTGGCCAACTGGTCCCAACAAGCTCAGTGGTCAAGTTGTGCACTAGCAAGCAGGAGGTTGTAGGCTGTGGTCTCTCCTGAGCAAGCATGTGGCTTTTTCGTGCAAGCCTAAGAAAGCACCAAGCGTATTCAACCAAGCCAACTGACCCTAATTGTAAAAGCTTGGTGTTTTCGTTGTAAAGTCTGAACTTGTGAAGCAGGATGTCATGGGTTCGAGTCTCTCCAGAAGCAATCTTGTGCATTTTACCCATAATCTCTCACATACCACTAAATATTATGTGCTAGTAAATCATGCCTGAAAGGGGCCAAAGTAAAAAGTTTAATTGACAGTCTATTTTATAGCTTTTTTTTGTGTATGTGAGAAACAGATATGATTTATAAATTGTAAATTAAATGGAAGAAAATTGATAATAAAGTGTCAGTGGAAGTCAATGTGTAATGCAGTTTTTCGGAGTCAGAGTGACTTTATGGGGGAGTTTTGTAATCAGCTTGTGGCAATAGTCTCGCTGCCAGTTCTTGCCTGTTGTATACAAATAACTTTAAAGAAATACTATGAAGATTATTCCTTAATTTTGCAAGTTAAAGAAATATATTTTTCTGAATGAAAAACTTCGACCTGGAAAAGTTTTTACTGTACAGTGGTCAGTCCTGTGAGATTTCCTGATTTCTTACTGCCCTATACCCTACACTTTTCTTTTAACCGATACCTTATTTCAGAATTAGGAAGGATTTTACCGGTTGGTTATATTAATCCAAGTGCCCAGATGCTCCATTAGACGAGTAACTGGTATTATTAGTTCATTTCAACACATTTGCAAAATTGAAAGGGTCAAATAAACACGAACACTGTCATAGTTGAAGTACATGTGGGTGGTCTTCAGACTATAAAAGAACTTTAATTAAAATTTCCCAACTGCAAAAGTTTTTTCCAAAAACTTTGAGGGGAGTGACAAGTCCATCTTTGGTCAATCAATTAATGTAGCGCCCTCACACGGTTTCGTGTGACCAATTTTAAGATAGGAGCTATTTTACAAATTACAGCTTCGTGAGAAATGGCAACATCTCAGCCCTCTTGCATTACCCCTAAAACTTATTTCTAATACAATATTTTGAAGTTATCCCACAGGCATGTTTTAAAAGTAGACAATGGTTCTCATAAGCAAAAAAACAGAGCTGCATTTAGTCAGAGAGCATGAAATTGTAATCGAAATCTGAAGCCACGTCTCGAACAAAACCGAACTTTAGAAAAAGCGGTAGTTGCTATAAACATTTCAAGATGGCGGAGTGCGGAGGAGCTTCGGCTGCCGCCAGTGCGCCGAGGTTTAATAAGAAATCTTTCGAATTTAGGATGTGCAAGAAGGTTGCTGAGCTGACACAAGTTGTCCACATGCTCTTCGTGAAGAACCACGAGAGAGAGGTGGAACTGGAGAGCGTGAAAATGGCCTACGAGGAAGAAATTGCCAGCGTTATTGCCGACGCCCGGAGCAAAATTGAGAAGTTGCAGCAGTCGTTGGCAGCCGAACAGAGGAGGAGTGACAGCGCCAAGAAAGGCTTCGAGCAAAACTTGGAAGAGAAGGAGAAGCAGCTGTCACAGAAGCTGGCAGAAAGCGGGGTCAAGGTCAGGGAACTCCAGAAGGACAATGAATTTCTGAGAGATCAAGTTGTGAGACTTCAGAGAATTGTTGAGGATTCTGAGTCGACCCAAGCGGTGGCGGAGGAAGATGAGTTGAAACTCTTTCAGGAACAGCTCGATCTGGCCCGTGCCGAAATTCAAGAGAAGACAGGAAAACTCAGCAGACTCCAGGAGATGATTGGAAATGAAGCTGATCAACGCAGAGAAAATGACGCCATCGTCAGCAGACTCAAAAGCGAAATGGAACAAATGCAGTTCGAACTGAGCGCACAGATGGAAGACTTGAAAAATGAACTGCTGGACGCTAGCAATAGTAAGGAAAAACTCCGTCAAAAGAATAAAAACCTGGAATCAGACATCCGAAACCTAAAAAAAGAGCTGGAGACACGACGGCTGTCAGAGTTTAATCCCGCTCCAAGGTCTTCTCTGCAGTCACCACCAAGCATGGTGAGAGAGTTTTCCATCAAACCCAGGCATTACGATTATGGGTATGCATGTACTGTAGATTCTGTGGGGATGGATAGGGTGTGTCCTTGTTCCTTGTCATAAGCTTTGGGGCATTGCATCATGGTGGGTATCAGGGAAGCAATTAACATTTCCTCTTCCACTGCTGCAGGATACCAGTGAAGAGTTAGAACGCCTACGCCGGGAGGTCCGCATGTACCGAATGGAGCTCAGCAACCGAGAGGGTAACTTTAATCGGATGTTCACAGACAGCTTGCCGGTGCGCATCGACCAGCGGGCCGGGGTAGTAGGGCGGGAAGGAACCGGCCGGACATGAACATACACCTACAGTCGGGCAGATCTCAGATGGTTGGTATTCACCCAAAGTTCATGCCCTTAGCTCAAGGCAGCCCCCCCAAAAAAGTGGCTAAATTTTCCCAAAACTACATGTATTGTGACAGAAATTCAAAGCGTTTTGGGAGCATAAGCCCATGATTGATGCTTGTACATCATGTGTACGCTTAATATGGTGATGTAAACATTTTGCACTGGTTTTAAATTCTACCTTAATCAATGAAAATTCAAAGTTTTGCTTCCTGTTTCCCATACTCTATTTTGATGTACCTGACAGGTGTATTTTATGCTTGTTATGTACATGATATGTAGTTTGCCCTATCTTCTTGACGCTAAATTTTTCATACAGACCTTAAGACCCAAGAACATCTTATTTTGGGTGTATGTTTGGTTTCATTTTGTTTTGTTATAAGGTTGGTAACCGCACTCTGAAAGATTCAAACGGCAACTCACAGTACAGACCAGGATTGAACCGGCTCCCGACCCTGTCCATGGACAGCCGACAGAGGGTGACAAACAGCCGCAGTGGTGGGAGACACCACACGCTGACTGGATCCCCACGAGAGAGGCAGACTAACAGCTACTCTATGCCAGGCTTCCATTGAAGGGGACCAGTGAACTTAAATTACCATGTAGCATGGAAAACCTTCACCCTTCAGGAAATTCCTGAAACTACACAATATGCTCCACAACTCACTGCCTTATTCTCCTTGAGCAGAAGCACCCCCTCATCGGTTGAAAAGAGCCATGTTGGTGGAGAGTGCTCATTTTGTTGGTAAAGATGCGACCATAACGCCTGCATGTCATAGTTGTTTGTGAACTAGCGGAGTGCAATTCCTACCAAAGGAGCCTCCGTTGCTGGGATAATAGCACCCTCTCTTGACCCAGCTCAGTGCTCATAGGTTTCACGCACAAGTTACCCTTTGCAGAGTTACACTGGAGATGAGACTTCACTCACAAGAATGAATTGGTTCTCAATGGCGTAATAATCTGGTTACAATTTTGCATCAGGATAATTCAACAAAGAATTGGCCACATCAGTGAGAGTACATTGACCCAAAAAATATCAATTTCTACACAGACAATAAGGAGGTGCCAAATTCAGTAGCATTGTTGGGGGGGGGGTGGCCCAAGCTTAGCTCTGTTTTGTAATACATTGTGATTGCTGAGGCCACATCGTTGCTTTCCCTTGCTTGGAATTAGTAACGCCATGCTCACAATGAACTGCCTCCAATGTCCAAACAAGTCTCTTGTCATTCCTGTTACCATGGTACCTTAAACATACAGATCCCTGAAAAATGCCTCTGCAAAATGACAGTAGTCTCCCTCGCCACACCCCCAAAATCACCGTAGCGTCTTTCGCCACACACCAAAACATTTTAGCCACGTCGGCCCCACACCAAAATTGTTCAGGGATTAAATGACTGCAATATTAATTGTCACTAACAAAGTGCCTTTCATTTAAAGATGCGGCCCTCTTCAGCTGATCTTGAGTGAAATCCAAGCCATGCTCTACAATAGTTGAGCTGCAGTACGCCGATCTCAGATTTTATATACATGTACTTTTTATATTTTCCTTTAATTTGTGTTTGATTGCTCTTTTGACACATTTTGATTTGAATGACTTTTTAAAAGCTGTTGTAAATTATTTTACATTGAATTCAATTTCCTACAGATGAAATAGAAAGGAAAGCATAGGAAGTGCTTTGTTGGCAATTTTGAGTAATCAGGAGTAAAGAAATCTGTTAATTTTATCAGGAGAGCGTAATTTATATGCCCTTAATGTACCCTTGTGTGAATTATTTCACCTTGGATTTTAAAAATTTTGCAAGTTTTTAAATGTTTCCATTGTGCATTTGTTAATGTACAAATAAGTTCAGGTGCTGTGTATACTCATGACGTTAGTGTTATCTGAAAGAAATATAGTTTCCACTTTGACAAGGAAAATGCATTTCCTAATAACAATGAATATGCTTTTTATTAAAGTTTTGGGTTAAATCATTATAAGAAAGTCAAAAGTAGTATTTATTGTTTGTATGATATACGCCCAATAAATGAGCAAGTGGCGTAGATCTTAAAATAACTGGTGATCTTTTTTTTCAGCTTTGTGAGTTCTTTGCTGTTAGAGAGTGTTAAGTGATATATTTGCCAAAAAGTGCGCTTGTTTACTTCTAATCTCTTCCACATGTACATGTATTCTGAAAGACGACAGCTTCACGGAAGGCGCGCGTATGTTGACCACGCCCCGAGGAAGATTTCTCCAATGAGACCGAGAAGAATGTCACAGGGTACCCTGCACACTGACCACGGCGGGGGGTTAGAAATGAATATCTCACCGACATCACTCCCGTACAAGAGAAGAAAAAAATGGAAGAGCCAAAGCCACTCGTTCACATTCCACACAGGTGGCTTTATTGTCTTTGGGGATTTACCAAGAATATAAAGTGGAAACTCGTATCAATCACAGAGTTCTGCATTTAATTTTCCTTCTTATCATGCGTAATTGGGAATGACTGATGAATAATTAGATGAAGCGATGTGAGAGGGCGGGTCTTTACGAGCAAAGAGGTAGATGGATTACGCTCGATGTGTAAGCAGATAAGGTGTCAGTCGGTCATTGAATCATTATTCAGTCGATGGGACATTTATTTAGTCAGCTGACCATAAATCTGTCAGTAAAAGGAGGTCTGAAAATTCCGCCAGTCAGTCGTGGTTAGACCATCAAAAAGTCGACTAACCACCACGTGACAGTCTCTCGACCATTTATTCGATGCGTCGATCTGTCTATCTGCATGCTGGTAGGAACATTCAGTCAATCATGGTCGGTCACATATTAAGTTTGTGAACCCGTTTGTCGGGCAAGAGCATATAAACTGAAAGGAAGTCGACCAGTCGGTCTGCCCCACTTTTTGTCCAAAATTTACATGTACTATATTTTCTATCGAAAGAAAAAGAGAAAGCTATATCACCCACGATGATGATGGACACTTCCAGTCAATAGCCGTATTTCAAATAAGTACGAAATTAAATAAATGATTATTCAGGAAAGTTGCAGGAATTTCAGAACAAGTTTACAGCTTAACATCCCATTATACTTATATACAAAACAGTCTTCCAGAGAGACGTCTAGTCTAGGTAAAGTGGGTAATTAAAAAACGTTCCGAATCCGTACACTGATGAGTTTCCGTTGCGTACACTGTTCGACATAAGATCGATGCCCTCCCTAGAGGAGTAGATCAGAACAGAACACCGGATGAAGTAGAAAAACAGACTGATGCGGAAGCCCGAGCTTTCCGAACTGTCGAAGTTGTCTGCTAAAAAACATCACGTTACCGGACAGGTGAGTTGAAGCCCGCCAAGCGTGTTTTTGTTGACTGCGAGCAACAAAGGTTGTTCATATACTGTACATGTACATGTACACTCCTGTCGTGGTGAATCCGGGGTCAAAGGGAGATATTAAGAGTAAGCTGATTAGCATATTGAGCGGCAAACCAATGAGAGCCGCGCTGACGTATGGTTTATTTACAGCGCTGCACCCCGCCCACCACACAGACACGAGGCTGGCGACGTCACGCAAACACGTTTCGTAGGAAGGGATCGTTTCTTTGTGCCTCTTTGTAACAATAGAAACGGCGGGAGACACACACCGCGCACACCTCCCGATGAACCATCAACATAACCCTTTCGGGCAGCAAACCATGAGGAAAGACCCCTTAAATCGGCTTCACCACGATCATCATTTCGACGGAGATTTCCCCAGCGATCGGTACTGAGCTGTACAGGCTGTGACGGCGTGACCAGCACAGAGAGCACAATTTTTATTTCCAACTACGCCACAGCTCCGTCTCCAGCTGATTTGACAGCTGGCTGAACTGAACTCCGCACAAGTCCAATATACACAATGGATCCCGGTGCATGTACTTCTTTCCTGCCCAACCACCAGACAAATTTGGACTATAGCCCGGTGGACATGGATGTTACTTCTGCTGCCGAATGTCTCTTGGCCATTGCCAAGTCCAGACCGCCATGGAAACCGCCTGTGATCGCCTCTACACCACGGCCTGCCGAAATGGGGTACGCCACGCCGCCCTATGATCGTGCCATGACGAATGAGGACTCTGAGCTGGCCGCGCTGCCCAATCCTTTGTTCATGGTTGCTCGGATCCTGGCCGACTTGGAGACGTATAAGAACAGAGAACTTGCCCCCTCCCCCACCAGTGACTGTTCAAGCTCCCTGGAGTTCAGCCAGGACCCTTTTACCGACATCCCCCCGACCGGGGCCAGGCTGAAGGGGAACAAAACGACGAAGCGCCGGGCTAGGAAGACTAGCACGTGCGACGAGAACGCCAAGGTGGGACAAAGGAACAAGCGGGCTGCTAAGAAAAGATCGTCAGATCACCTTGGGCCGGATGGCCAGCCCATCAAGAAGCACAAGTGTCACTACATGGGCTGCGACAAGATGTACGGCAAATCATCACATCTGAAGGCACATCTCAGAACACATACAGGTAAGACACGACATTGTTCATGTACATGTTTCTTTGTCCAGATTGCATCAAGTGACGTGCATTTTTCACCTTCGTTCTGTCCACAAACCACTCGTTTGATTTCGCAATGTTACTCAACAAAGACCACGCGTGCACATGTGCCAACTCTACTGTACGATCTACATTTCTACAAATTGCTGAACGAGTGGATTTCCTTGCGTCCACTTTTTAACAAGCTCTTCAAGGCTTGAACACTTGTTGCACTTGTAGATCCCATTGGCGGTATCGCTCCCATTCAGGATTGCCCCTAATACCCCGTGTCAAGGAAGCAGCTGGCTGGGCCCGTTGTATCGACCAACCACCACGTGCTGATTAAAAATCTTTTGGAACATCATCAGTCCCTTACAGTCCCAGTCTAGAAACTAAACTTATAAGTGCTACCATCTCGTTAATCCCCACGCCGATTATCCCCAACGTGCCCGAACACTGATCCGATTAAAGTTCACATTTTGCTGTAGCATGTGTTGGCTGGGCTGTACAAAACGCCCCCTTTCCTTTGTGTGTCCAATTGGAGCTTACATGGAGTTCATGCACGCACTGGACAAAAAGATGCAGTGTGAGGCCAAAGCACGCTCTCACGATGCGGGCGCTCGTTCTATTATCAGCTTTTCTGTAAATCGGCCTCCTCAACTTAATTGCTATTAGTCTGTCGTCTTGGGCCTTTGCTGTTACTTTTGGGAATTTTGTAGGGCGACTTGTCATCCTCATGTTAATGACATCACAGTGGGTGCTTCCTGCATGGAGAGAGCAAGTGATGGGCGTTGCACGGTTCCCCAAGAGACATGTACCTTGTCCTGTGGGGGCAAGCCGAATGAATTGCAGTTTTGCGTTTAATGGCAGTCCCATTATACAATTTGATGTACAAAGTACATGTAAACACACGGTTTGCCACCGAAGGCAAACTCCATTTCTTCGCCTGCCCTCACGACCAAACCTTATTGTCATTGATATTTCTAGAGATCAAGCGCTGTGTTGACGTTGTGCAATATTATTGTTTTCAGCCGTAGGTCACATGTATTGACATCGTGATATCGCATCATTCAGTGGGTGCGTGAGACTTGTCATTACTTCGCACGTTAACGTACTGCTATTCAGCAAAAAAATTTTATACCGTGGTGACTTCTTTTGCTTTGCCGCAAATTGGAAGTTTTAGAACCACCTTATTTTCGTACTTGAAAGTCTGTTTTCCACTTGCTGGCATTAAGATAAGAGTTTGCCCTTTTTATACAAGATAACTTCAACTGGACTTGTTTTATGATTAACAACTCCAAAAAGGGAAATATGTCATCATAACATGTCAAGTCCTCTTGGAAGAAATAGATCATTAGTTAAAACATTTTAGTGTTAGGGTTGTAAAGGAACTGAGAAATGTAAAGACCCAGCCCCCTATCGACCCACCAGCCTGCCGCTGTGCCAAACATTTTCAAATACTGAGAGGAAAACTTTTGTCCCCTTTAAACCACCCCTTTGGTCACATCGATCATGTTGGTAGCAGAATATTCAAACGCTGTCAGCAGTTCTGCTCTGACCAGCACCCGACGCTTTGTTTTAGCAATCGATACATTTACGTAATAACTCGCGATGAACCGGCCCGGGAGCGCGTTCTTTTGTCAATTGACAATGGGACAAAATTGACCCAGTGGGCAAATAATGTTTTGTTTGAGCCCCATCGCATGTTCACGTTGCGTGCGGGACACAGTGCATGTACATGTACAGTACATGTGCGTGTACATGTACATGTACATGTACACCATGCATTATTATGAACAATATCGAGGACGGCTGTGTAATGGGCGTGAGCTTGTTTGCGCGCAAACCGACCCCATTTAGTGTACATCGCTGAACGGGACCCCTCCCATCTTTTCTGTATCCCATGCGACTTCGTCATAGCCAGCATGTCATATATAAATCCACATGATTTGTTGTTCCGCTCAGTTCATTGACTATGCGGTCATAGAAAATTCGGCAGTGGGGGGTGGCGGTTTTTTTTTATTGTCGATTGTTGGATCGTTCAAGTGGGGTTTCTCATTCCACAAATCCCAGAAAGGAATAGAGCATAATTGTTATCATATCGAGTTGAATATCGCCCAAACAAAATCTAGTGTGTTGGATCTCAAGTCCCCACTTATACTCTGGTATTTGTCTCACCTAACCGGTCCACTCTTTAAGTATAAAGACAAATGGAAAAGTTTGTTTTGTTAAAGGATGAACACCTGTGTTTGTGAATTGTCCGTCAAACGTGTCCAGCCAACCGTGTACAGTGGGCTGAACCACGAACAGGTCACGGCTAACGAAGAACGAAACTTGTAAACAAGTAGCAATTTCAATAGTATTGCAATACTGCCAACATGATTGCTGTTACCAAACATTAGGAAGCCTGCGCAGGTGTGCGCGAAGAAAATCGTGCTTTATTCCAACAGAATTGGCCGCATTCGTACCACATGAGTTATTTCCCATCACTTTCCTTTCGCAACTGTGAAACAGTGTTGCGCAACTGGAAGAAAGTCTTTCGTGCTTGGAGGGTCATATTAAATTCTATATACCGGCATTTTACGTCACCCGGTTGTGAAAAAGGTGGGACGCAGAGTAGACGCAGCAGCGGGAACAGATGGCTGGAGGATTTCATTCCCCGCCCGCCCCCATCCTTGACACACAATGTGGCCTCAGTTGAATACCACGTCCATCTCATTCTGACGTCGGGGGGAATTTGAATGATTTTGTAATGAATTATTAAAGTGACCATCTTTGCTCCAACGTACGAGAACCACAAAGCTGGCACGCGTATGATTTATTCATCTTTGAATGTCTGCTCTGCACTTCTTAATCCAAGCCTGGGCCAAAGGTCCCCTCGGATAAAAATAAAGTTCAAGTACAAAAGTATGCTATGGTGTAAGAGCTGACCTCCGATAAAGTGCGATTATTTATACAAACTGCACGTTGCCTAGCGTTCAAGGTTTGGAATTTTTTTAATCTTTGTAGACGTGTTCTCAAGTCTGATTAGCGTTTCTGAACTGGGCTTGGAGCCAAGTATATGTAGTTTGTATTCGTAGTGAATATTTGCTGAGCACAAAACTGGTTACATCTACCAACCAAAAGGTGCCTGAAGATATTACCCCATAATTATCGGTGCTCAGTTTTGTGACGCGAGCAGCTCCGGTGCTGAATTTGGCCCTGCATTGATTGCGGATTGGGGACAAAGAACTAGGAAAGACATCGTGCATGTCGTGTCCTTCCACCCACCGCAGCTGCCAGCAAGCCACGCAAAATGTGGCCCCTGCCAGCAAAGGAGACTCTGACCTATCTGTCACGCCCACTTGGTCTAAAAATAAGCCAAAGAGAGCAGCACAAAGGACCTTAGATGGAGCTACATGTAGTTCGTAATTCCACGTGGCCCGCTCCCTGGTCAAGACTGTGGAACGTACATGTACACATGTACATGTACGTGTACATGTACATTGAGCACACAAGTGCACGCTCATGTACATGCACATGTGCATGTACATGCACATGTGCATTGAGCACACAAGTGCACACTCATGTACATCTACAAGAACCTTCACTTCAAATTCACTGGCTCGGGTTAAATTAGTGAGCAGTGTACACGTTCAGTGAATTTCTACCGATCGCCTTTAGTTTGTCTTGTGACACTGGGCAGGTAAATTGGTGCTTCCCCCACAACAAGGCTATGTGTTGAGAAATAAAATCCAGGATGGTTCAAGCACATTAAGCATTAGTGTCCCGTGAAATGTCGACTTGTGCGAATTGTTTGTTCACGACTCATGGACCCTCTTCCCTCACTTAAAAATCACTACTTTCTCTCCTTTGGCTCACTGAGACATGCGCAACGAGGTCAAGGAGATCATTTTTTTTTTTTTTCACGGGGACCAGTTTCATACCACATCACTTAAATTGTTTGCATAGTATTGTAATGACAATGTCGCGTGGAAATGTCCCCAAGACATGGCGACGAGTATATAATGAGGCCCCATTTTCTGGCTCTTTTGTTGAAGGGCTAGGCAGTGGAGGTTGGAGCCCTTTGCCAACAACCCCCCTATGCACCACACCGACCACGCTTTCATCACCGGGTCACGGCGCACGTGTCTTGATTTGAATACAAAGAAATCATTTTCCCCCAAAGAAGTCTTAAGAGGTGAACAAAGACAGCAGAACCACACATACTCATAAGAGATATATTCCTTCGCATGGTACTACCGCAAGCCTTTCCACCTAAAGAAAGCATGTACTTGTGCTGTAAAAATCTGCAGGTTGCTAATAACCTTGTCATTTTGATGTGGCCAGCGACCTCGCTTTGTCTCGCGGTTGTGAAAACATGGTGCCGTTTTGGAGGGCTGGACAAAGAGCCGGTGGGGCCCTCTCGCATGACGATGCTGCGGTTTACAAAAGATCAACAGTGTCGCGTGCGACGTGCACCTGTCGGGTTTGGTTGATAGGACATCAGACTGATAAGCATGATTTTCCCTCCTGTTGGTGTGTTGAAGGGGGACAGCTCCCGATACCAGATACCGACGTAGTAGAACAGGAAAACCTATGATTGATCCAGTGGCGTAGCTAGGATTTTAGTGTGGGCACAAGGGGGGACCAGCTTCTTATGGGGGGCACCAGCTTTCAGTGGTGTGGTGTTTGGGGGGCAAGTTTTTGCTAGCCTTGTTCAGTATCCATTCCTCCGGTTGTTTTTCTTTATAGTGGGAAGGCACTGGGGGGGGGGGCACTGCGCATGCCCCTCCCCCCGTGGCTACGCTGGATTGATCTCACATGAAACCCCAGCTCTGGTAAAGACATATATGAAGTATGCTCGTGCACATTGCTGTTCAGGGTTTCAGATAGCATTACTTTTTGTCACGTCATTTGCCATGCCAGGCCAGAGGCCACAGTGGAAACTAAGTCTACTTAAAATGCGACGAATATTCGCCTCTTTTGATTGGTGAAACAGCTTCATGGTTGGTGAAAGAGATTCTGTGATTTGTGGAAGATCATTCATGTAAACCACACGAATCATCTTGGATTCAATCGATCTCTCTCTTTGTGCTTGCTCCTAAATTTGCTTACTTAGCACTCCAGATATTTCTTGCAGGAGGCAATCAAGTCTGCGAGTCACACGTGGTTTCGCAGAGAACCGCTTTGCAACAGCAGTGCTTGCTTGCATCATGCTACCAGAAACACGATTTTTAGCGGGCGAGAACGGTGAATTCTTTGGCATTACTTGACATCGTGCGACGCGGGTGCTCAACAATTCTTTAAACCCTCCAAACAAGTGTGCTAGTCATATTTCACCGTGACAAACAAAGAAAAAAAGCCACCTTTCCCAAAAGCCTGTACTAAAAGTTGTTATGCGTTTGTCTCTACAAACCTTCACGCGTAGTTCAATTTTCTGCGGGTTATTCCATTCCGTCCTTGGGGAAACAAATAGCCAAAATGTGCTTGAATTGGGTTTAAGCGAACCGTAACAAAATGGGTGATTCCGGTTAAATATAATTTTTATTGTAGCCCCCTTAATGGTCGGCGACAGGTGTGGTGGTCGCGTGTCGAGAGGCCCCGGACAAGGAACTAGCCACGTTCCGCTGCTCCGATCTTTGTTCCCCAACTCGAAGCCCACCGCACACCTGTCCTTCGGGCTGCCACGGGGCCACACTGCTCTTATCTCAATTAGGTCTTTTATCGCATAGTTTATTGTAGTACGCTGAGCACTCAACGTTCCTTTAAGTCTCATTATCCACCGCTGAATTGAGCATTCAGTATCTCTTTTTAGCCCCCCCCCCAAAAAAAAAATCTGCATGCGCGTAGTTCCAAAAAAGCAGCATTTCACATGCGAGGAAGTGTTTACTCTGAGCCCGTCGGGACTGCCATTTCTCGGCATATTAAAAGTTGACACCGTTCTTTCAAGGGTATGATGTTCAACAGGGCCACCCTGAGCTTCCCCGCCTTCATGCCCTATCCGAGCCGGTTTAAAAACGCCACGGAAAGTTGGAGCATTACCTGAAATCAGTACAGTACTCTGCGGTTAATCTAGCTTGGCAAGAGAGTTGAATTAACGTGTCTGTCAACAAGACACTCTACTGAACTTCTGAATTTTTCTCAGGGCCGCGATATAACTTGGCCACATTTTGCTCCGACATACCGTCTAGCTCTAGGCGTGTAGTGAGTTGTGATACACGTTGAGTGTAAAGCCACCATCGGTTATCTGTGATCTAATTGGCGGTAATGATTACTTCCTATCGTCGATGAATGGACCTCTCCGACAAGGGTGTAGCGCCCTTCCTGAAAATGAACGCAAAACAGGTTCGGCCCGACCGAGTGCTGGTTGGGACGCACTTTGTCATGTCCATTTCGGTTAAACAATTATAATATCCAGCCGCGAATTTCATTTTGTGAATGATCTGCTTTCCTCACAATAGTGCCACGCCTTTTCTATCCAAATCTCAATTAATAATTTTTTCCTACTCTCGTTCAAAGTGCTGATGCTGTTTGTTTTCTAGTTCTCTTTCCGTGTGTTTGCGGTTTTACGATTGATGTATGAAAGTGACTCTAACGCCAAGGGCACTTCTGTTAGGAGCCAGCTAAATCCGCCAAGCACTGTTGTAGTTAAAACAGAATGTCTCGATCGTCTTAGTCTTACTTTAATCTTCAAGGCTTTGATCGCAGAGCAAGCCCTGTGCATTTCAAGTGATGATAAGTGGCTATTCGTGACTTCGTTAATGCTGCCGTCTCTCCCACCTCAAGGGGCAAAATATGCGGTTTGCGCCGGCTTCAGTGGCGTAGCTGGGACATTTCGATTGGAGAGGAAATGAATGTGAAAATGAGCTCTCATCATTCGTATTAGAAAGTAACCTGTACATGTACAAGGATTTTTTCTGACCCTCGTAAGTCGGGGCAACTATCCATGCGTCGCTGCGCACAATGGGCGGGTGGGCGGTATTGAACAATAGGCGGCGCTCTTCATGGTAACACAGTTTCTGTATAGGTTGTTCGAAAGGTCTCCTGTCACGAGGCAATTCACTCTAACCCTCCTCCGCCAGATGTTACCCAACTGACAATAATATCCACAAGAAAAAAAAGTGCACCACTGATAAACCTGTGTGGTATTCCAACAGCTCATGCGCAAAATGAAGTGCGTCTGAGGTCATTCGGGAACAGAAGTACGCGCGCGCGAGGTCTGCACTGTCACTACGCCTCTAAGCCGACTCGCAAGCATGCGTTGTTCTCGAGTGAGCTTGCCCTTTTGAAACACCGAACTGGCTCATTGCAAATAACCTTTACTTTTACACTAAACAACTGTCTGGATGTTTTTATTTTATTTTTTGAACGCCAGACACAGCCATGTTAATGATGGCACGTACTTTTTTTTCTGTTTGTTATAGGTGAGCGACCTTTCCCCTGCACCTGGCAGGAATGCAGTAAGCGTTTTGCACGCTCCGATGAACTGGCCCGTCACTACCGGACTCACACCGGGGAGAAGCGGTTCTGCTGCCCGCTGTGCGAGAAGCGCTTCATGCGCAGCGACCACCTGATGAAACACGCCCGTCGCCACGCAAACTTCCACCCAAGTCTGCTCAAGCGCCCGCGCAGTGTGGCCGACTCGCTCAGCGATCGCTCGGCCAACTCCAGTCCCGTCAATTCGCCGTAGTGGGCTTGGCGGTGCCGCTCGTGCCCGCCTCGGGGGAGAAATTTACGAAGCAGTTAAGCACAGTTTAACTTTACTTTAAAAACAAGAACATCACTTGCCTTGGCTTCGCAGAGGAAAAGGAAAAAAGAGCTTACAAAATTTGTTTCTTGCTAAGCTGTTTTGCCATGTTCCAAATTATTTCATATGAGTTTTTGCTTAGGGCATACATGTGCATTGTAGAGTAAAATGGTGTTTAGCAGTTCCATGATATTCCACCTTAGGCTCGACCGACAGTGCTAGTATTGGTCGATCGGCTGTCACAAGATTGTGTGACAATAATGAAAATTGTTGGTTACCAGTGTGAATCGGGCCCATTATAAGCATTCATGAAAATGCACGGTTTTTATTTTACATGGAGACAAGATACATGGAGACAATTCTTTGGCGACCTCACCTTGAAGTCTCGACATTTGAACGAGGGCGTCTTTAAAATTAGCCTGCACCCAACGCTCTCGGTTCGAGTGTGATTAGGAACTAGTCATCCATAGCATGGAAGCTTCAATACTTAACTCAAGGAGTTTGAAAATAAGGGTTTTTATAAATGTTAGTTTCCATTTCTTTTATGCTGCACTTCAAGTTTGGTTTTGGCTCAGATGCCTAATACGTATTCAGCGATTTATTGTTGATAGAAACAGTTGCCAGGCAAATACATGGTTAGTAGATAAAAAATACACGTAGCGCTCAGGGACCAACCAAGTCTGTGAAATCAACACACGGTGGAACGCAGTAATTGGCATTCATGCAACCTGTTACTTTATGAACTTTATAGTTTGAGTCCTTTTTCACGAACTACGAAATTGCCTTCGTTATTAACTCACATAAAATTTGTGATGAATTTTGAACTTAATCTAGAGTTAACCATTCCCATTTTTTTCCCAAACCTCGTTGCTGAAAAGGCCACATTTAATTTTTTAGTAATCATTTCATGCGTGAAATTGTCCTTTCATGTATGAAATCGTGTATAAAGTGACGTGACCAAAACTGGCGAGTTTTAAACTCTAGTGTTTATCTTCAAGTGTAAGTGTGTCGTGTTAATTTCCAATCTCCTTTACTTAAAAGTTAATTCAGTTCTTTAAGGTCGACCGGTAAAGTTTGACTCTTTCTGCATTTGTTGCTATTATTGTGTAACTTATTGTGTTGTGTTCACATGTATTCGTTCTTTTAATTTATGGCGTGTGTTTGCGGGTGTGTCGGTCAGGCTGAATTTGAAAAAAAATATAACCCATTGTGAAAGCAAAAAATGTTTGGAGTGTTTTTCGTATTTAAGAGTATTTAAATTTTAACATGTAATTTTGTTCCAACGAGTCTGATTAACTCAGCATCCTTGATTCCATACGTGTAAATATTAGCAAGCTAGAGGTGTTTTTAATGGTATTTACGGAAAAGAGATCGGCGTCGATTTTGCGAGTGTCTTCTGCTAACTAGAGCAGTTCCGAGTTGTCACGTCAATCACTGACCAAAGGAATGACAATATCAACTTTTTGACATGTCTACACTAACAAGTGCACTTCTAGATTTTTTGCTAGGTTTTTTTTTGGTGTAAATAGTGCTGTAATATTTGAACCATATATACCCTATATTTTTTAGAGTGGATTTAAGTAATTTTGGCGTTAGAGATTAGTAACTTTGTAAAATGTTCGTTATGTCTGACAAACGGCAGACTGGTTTTCTGCCTTATTCTGAATTATTAACGCATTTGAGGTAGAAAATACAGTGTTGGGGTATTGTACTTCGGGTACCAACGAAGTACTCACTGCCCTGTCCAAGGCAGTGATGGAGGTTGTTTATATATTGTGGAGAGAACGTACAGCATTGTGGGTAGCTTAACGTCATCAACGATTGGCTGAAATTATACATTTCGAGTTAAACCATATCTTCCAGTGGAAAATCTACAAAATTAGCCTTCTGTCGCTTTCTTGGAGAGAGCCTTGGGCAGCGGTGAGAGCCTAGCGGGAACCAAAGCCATATTCGGTTTTTCTCGAAGATTTCTTCCTGCTGAATGTTCTACGCTTCGGGATGTTGAAGATTTTAATGAAAATGTCAAATCTGCAATAACTGCTCGGTATCGTCTACTCAGAATGCAAACTGGAGACGAAAAAACGCTAACAGTTTGAAAATACGTTTTCCTCCTTGAAATTTGCAGTGGTTTGGATACTGGGGTAGTTTTTGTAAAGAGCAGAATAGGATGAAAATTTCAGTTTTTTCAAACTCGAGTACCAAACCAACTGCGCACAATTTTCGCGTGATTTCTTTCGGTTGGCAATCCAACGACATATTTCAAAATGATTCAGGTATGTTTAAAATATGCAGGAATGAATATTGCAGTTTCTCTTTTTCGTTTTTGAAAACAAAGAAAACAGGATTGATAGACAATTTTTTTCTCAGAACTGTAACTTATTTATCTCTTCCTCGTAGATTAAATTAAATATATATTTATTAAACATTTGTAGATAAAAGTTTCTGTAGATACATATTAATCTGTGATGTTTGTTTATAAACCTGTATTTTTAATTAATTATATTTTGAACAAAAATCAAAAGAACCGGACTATTTTTGTGAAGGAATTTTTACTTGGATGGTGCACACTTGACAAAGTGCCAATAATGTGATTGGTGGACGAGTTGGTACGTCAGAGAAGGAACAACAAATCAGAATAATGCAACGAAATAAAAAGATAAAAAGTATAACAAAATACGAATGCATTGCTCGTCTGGAGTTCAATTTTTGTATTTAAAAAGCCAAAAGTGGAAAAGGTCGGGATTGCTGACTTGGAGGACAATTTGGGTGTGGTCCGACTGATGTATTTTTCTATGAAATGTTTTTACTGCAAACAGAAGGGTTGGTGAAATTTTCAAGCGGGGGGGGGGTTGCCGTATGGAATGAAGTGTGAACTCCCGTTTGGAGCTTGAAGATTCATAGTCGGGTGTGATTCCTTATAGGCCTAGGTGAATTTTCAGAGTTGTCTCTTTACTTGCTCTGTAATGATTTTTTATAGTGGGAACGAACTCCAAAATGGCCCAAGATCAGTACAGCCTCTTATAGGATGCACTGAACCAATTCAAACTCCATTGAAAATAGTGTAAAATCAACCAAGTTTGGAGCCCCATGGCAGGCAACTGAAGTCCGTGAGGCCTCTCAAACAAAAAACAATGTGCTGTGTGGTCCTTCAGATTTCATTTGATTTTCAATTTTTAGTAGGTTAACCGATGAATTTTTTAATTATCCGCCCCAAACAAACTCACCCCCCAAAAAGTGAATGTTGCCAAGCGCTCCCGGCGGCCATTTTTCAAATGACGTTTCTCACCTTCTCGGGGCTCTTCTGACTAATTTTCAATACCACTTTTGTCTGCTTTGCCCCCAGATGGGTACCCCTGAATCTACAGAGATGATCCTGGGCCATATTGACACAATCCCACTATTTCTTGACCCAAACAGACCCCTCTTTTTGAAACAATCTCTGGGGGGTACTTTTTGTGCGCCTCCGCCTGGCGGGGAATTTTCCTTGAATTGGGACACTGCACCCTTATACGTCATTATTTTCAGCCTTTGAGCAAAAGGGGGCGCCAGACCATATTACCGGACAAACAGGCAGTTTTCCAATACTTAACTTCTGGCCGTCGGAGGCTTCAACTGTTTTTTTACTACCTGACTTTGAAGCTGTAAGCCCACCAATTAGTCTAGTAGTGCCACAAAACATCAAATAAGATGCAAGAGAGCAAAAATTTTCAGTAATCCATTTTATTTAAACGCTTCAGGTCCACAATCGGGGATTGGTTTTTAGAGACTAAGCCACGGACGGAGACGAAGTTGAGTATTGGAAAACGGCCAAAGACTGGCGATAATTGTTGCTACGGTAAATTAAAATAGCGCCACCAAGAGTTTTTCTGTCACCGCCATTTTAGAATCGAAAGACTTTGAAGTTCGAAAAACGAAATTGAATTATTTCTGGCTAAAAACCGAGAAAAATAACAACACTAACCACATTAATGTGAAACCCAAAACGCATCACTGATGTGCAGAATTTGTAAAGCAAATGGAATCATTGGCGAAAAGGAAAGTTTATGTCCGGTAAATGTACATTTTGATGCATTTTTTTTAGCCTAGGGCCTAATCCTAGTTTCTAAATATTTTAAAATGACCTTAAAAAACATACAATTAATGTCTAGGCCTACATTTTTTTAGTTGCCTAAGACTACAATCATGCCTATCATTTCTTTGTCCATCGCAAAATAGCCTATTTAGTCATTTTAAACCGTAAACATGTTGTCTTTGCTCCTTGAACTTATTTTATTCATTTCTATTTCGTAAGAGGGTAGGAACCGCCGTGGAATTAGGTTTTCTAAACTTTCTGCTTTTGGCTGTGATCTCTACTTTTTCTATTGAAGGGTATCTTCTTTGAAGTAATTTGCAGTTTAGATGTCTCTGTTTTATTTTTTTATGTATCTAGGTATTTACATTGTGGAAGGATGAATACATCAAATCAAATCATGTTCCTTCATCCAGTACTAATTAAGTGAATGGGAATACACCTCTTTTGAAGATGTCCAAGGAATCACAAACACTAGCACAAGTTGAACTTGTGAACATCGCTGATGTTGAGAAGGCAATTGGCGAAGCTGTTCTCAGCCAGCAGAGAGTTTTGAATTTGAGTCACAGGGGGTTGTCTATACTCCCTGCCAGCACCCAACGATTGACCCAAGTCAAGAGACTCTTGCTGAATAACAACAACCTTCTCATGCCCCCCACGGAGCTCATCACGCTGGAAAGCCTGGAGGAGTTGATTTTGGACGAGAACAAGCTGACCCTTCTGCCGTCGGGGTTCGGCCGTCTGACCAACCTGACTTACCTCAGCCTCAGCCACAACTGCCTGGGTTGCCTGCCGGCCGAGATCGGCGACCTGCGCAACTTGGAACAGCTGTGGGTGGTGGGGATGCAGTTGGCCTCCCTCCCAGCCTCCATCGGGCTGTTGGGCTCGCTGGAAAAGTTTGGTGCCCGGGACAACCTGATTTCGGCATTACCCAACGAGATCTGCCAGCTGAGGCGGCTGAGGTGGTTGAACTTGGCCAAGAATAGGCTTATGGAGCTCCCCGCCCAGTTTGGTAGACTCCCCGAGCTAGCATTCTGTGATTTGAGCGAGAATCATTTCACCGAAGTGTCCAAGTCCATTACGGAACTGCCAAAACTTGCTTCATTAATTCTTCAAGGAAATCAGATCGCCGTACTACCTGACGATCGCCTTCTAGGCTTGTCTCGGCTTACCAAGCTTGACTTGAGGGCAAATCCCTTGACAAAAAGACCAGACCACTGGAAGGTGAGCCAATAAGAGAACATTTAAAATTTCAAAAAAAACCTTTCAGGTTGGTTTTGAACAAATGAAACTAAGACTTCTGGTAAACACCAGCTTTTCTGTGAAAATAATTTGCCCAAGACAAAGTGTCAAGTGCTGTTCATCATGATGCCTTTCTGTTGTAGCTTAGTTACGAACAGGCAGAATATTTTTCTGCACGGAAAGTTAACTCCAGGAATGAGTATCAGTGTTGAGACCAGAGGTATAGCTTTCTGTATTCTGATGAAAAGTTAACAGTTTTCTTCATGTACATACAGAAAAATTACAATATATTAGCAGGACATTTACAACTAAAACAGGTAAACTTGTCACCTTGTATTGACTACATAGGCACCATTTCAAAATTCTTATCGGGTAGGTGTCGGACAAAAAGGTCCGACCCATACATTTATTATCGGTTGGTTATCAGGTTAAGTGTTCTGAAGTAGCCATTTCTAACCGATAAATGCCTTTACACTGCATCATTCCCAAGGCTATGTGGTTTCAGTGGAGCAACACCCCCTCCATTAGTCACTCAACCCAAGTCTCTGTTATTATTTATCTATCGGATGGCTCTGTCCTATAGTCAACTGGTAGGAATTTTGAAATGATGCTTTACATTTTGCAGCATTCTACACGGTATGGCTTTTCTGGCTAATAGGTTTCGGGGCCAACCTAAAATATTAGTACAAACATCATTAGAAATGTCTTATTGCTCTATTCAGGGATTAGACTTCATCCTGCTTGGCTCTGTGCCAAATGCTGCATTAAGTGAAGGTGAAGACACAGCGAGCAGCGATGAGGAGGATGCAGACGGAAGCGATGACAATGGAAGGGAAAGCTCTGATGAGGAGGGAAATGAACAGAACGAGGAAGAGTAGGCCAGATTGGAGTGCAATTGTTGATAGTTTCCCCTATGGGTATGAACCGTAAGGATGCTGGAGATGTTGCAGAATGCCTCATGACATGACTGAAGTCCTTGTTTTGATGGTTTCAAGGAACTTGGCCAGTTTCGGTGGTGACATTGGGGTATAGGACACACTTGATCGAGTGGAAAGTATATCTTTTCACTCTGTTCCGATGGTTGGAGCAAAAACCAACATTGTCTGGAAAATATGAAATCCTGAAAAGGGGAGCATTTTTAATACTAACGGTTCTCCTGAATACTTCCTCTTTGTTCTTTTGGTTCAAGCCACCGTGAAACTTGGATTTTTTTGTGTGTCTTGGATGGCACTGAATGTCCAGTGCTTGGAAACAAAGCATTTAGGATTGATTAATATGCAATATGTAAATCTTTCTACGTGCAAAACTTTTAATGGAAATGTGTTTTGACCAAGCAAAATTTTCCTGCTACCCTCTGTGAATTGTTATGAGCTTTGCTCTGGTTCAGTTTTGCAAAGCTGTGGTACCGAAATTCCTAACTTGCAAATTTCTCTTCTGAAGCACAGTCAGCTGCTAAGCACAAATAAGCTGAGAACAACATCAGTTGGATTCATGCTGCTTTCTGCCGGTTACCAACAATCGCTTAATGAAATGTGGCCAAGCAGATTTTATGTGCTTAGCAGATCTGTAAATTGATCAACAATCTTCTGACGGCTTTTACATGTATTTTAAAAGTTTGCAATAAACATGGTTCAACCGATGAAGTTGAAATAAGTTGCATTGCAAAGTTGGTTCTGTCTGCCCTTTGGACGGAAGCTCAAGAGGAAAAGCAGGCATCACATTTAATGAAATTTGGAGAGCCAGCAATCTGTGATAGCGCCCTCAAGTGGTGAGTGACATAGTCAGTCCCGTTGTTTTCAGTCCAATATTTTGTTATCCATCAGTCATATGTGGCATTTTCTTGTCATTTTATTTTGCATAGATGAATTTAATTGATTAAAATTGTTTGTGATCATCGATGTAAACTAAAGGCACCAAACCTTTAACTTTCTAGAGACGACATTTGATGTTGCATCGCCCTTGCCTGATCATTAGACTAGTTATAGCACAAATATGATTCAACCAAAGAGTTGCAAATCTCCCAACCGCAGCACTATTTTCGAAGTATGGTACAGTACTTCCAGACTTTGGCTGGCACTTTCAGTTGCAGAAACTGTGCCCGTTCAAATGCTTTCTTCTCCTTTCTCTCCCTGTTCACCATTTTCACCATTTACAACAGAGGTGAAATAAATTAGCACAGGTTTCAGTATTCTTTCTTAGAGTACTGAAAAGCTTTGGCCCTGTCTGTTCTCCGTTTTTACAGATCACTTTAAGAAATCACTCGTTAATTGCATTGCAAAGGCCTCAAGGGAGCTGTTCACTGGTGAGTCCAATTTTCAGAGCCATCATGGGCCAAAAAGCAAGCTGTCACTTCCCAGAAATGTTCACAAATTGCAATTAAAAATAATTTTTCGTCCAGAATATCATCTGCCGGTGACCATCTTTTGGAATTATTGAGAAATCCTGCTGTTAAATTCCACCAGTGAACCGTTTTTATTTTCTCCTTAGCAGTGGAACACAGTACAACCCACTTTGGAGCTGTGCTGAATGAGGACATCAGTTTACAACCTGGATTGACCAGCACCCTCTGTTGGTGAGTCTGAGCCAACCTCTTTTCTCCCCAATAGGTCCTGATGCTAACAGTTAATCAATACTGTAATTGTCAGTATTGATTGTGCTCTTGAGAGAAAGACTGCTTGTCTGACCTATCGAGCCACAGCAGGCCGTCAAGAATGAGTGGTATGGATCAGCGCTGAATTATTAAAAACGTGAGCAGCAGCATCGGAAAAAAGTATCTTCAGCATGGCTAGTCTTACAAAATGATCCATTGACGTGAAAGTGAGTCAAGCTTTCTTTTCCAGGGTTTCATTTCAGAGAACAGTGGAAAGACTTTTTATTGTGTTTCGTGCTGTATGTCACCTGCTGTATGTTTTATGGCTGCATTTCAGTGGGGGTGGGGTAAAGAGATATTAGAGGGAGTGTCAGTGAACCCATTTTTGTATCCATGTCAGATTAGCTGAAGCCGTCCTTAATCCATGAAAATCAGGAGTCACGAAGCCCAGATGCTGTTGCTTGATGTTTCATTCTGTTGGAAATGTAATCCATTGTAAGATTTTGCTAGATGTAGAATGGTTCCTAGCCAAACCTAGCTCCAGTGTTACAGAGAGATATTCATACTAGGTTTTGGTAATTATATTTTGTGATGAAGTTTCAAAGGAACTAACAACTGCAAAAGAGCTATTTAGTTATTAAATTTTATCACAGATTTTTTTGTGTACCTTTATATTTTTGGTTATTAGATATTAAGGGCACCTTAGAGTGTTTGTGACACCATGGCTTGTAAGTTTGATGAAATCTTGCAGAAAGTCATACGTGTATGCTTCCGTTATTCTTTCAACATAGGCTTTACTTGCACAGTGGAAAGCTTGTTTAAAAAAAAGCTGAATATGGTCAAAATAATCTCCAAAAATCAAAACGAGAAGTGGAGAGATTTCTTCCCTAACAAAAATCACGGCTTATAAAGTTTCACGTTTTATAAACATGATCCCACCCTGTAGGTCCAGGAATTGCCAAATTACAGAATGGCGTCATTATTTCTCTTTCTTTGTCAGGCTTGCACAGGCAAGTCTGCTTGACCAAGTTTGTTTGAGAGAGGCAGTCATCTGCAAGACACGAAACATAATGAAAATGCTAAATTGAAGTCGTGTGCTTCAGTTGTGATGGCCCTCTGATTATTATATGAAGGGTGAGCATTGAAGGCAGTTTCTTGACGCCATATTCCCTTTGTTGGTCCATTCCATCACAAACTGAATGTGGTTCCTGAAGCAGAACAGTTGCCATGGTCACCAACAATGAGTATCCAATCCTCACTCTACTTTGGTACACTAAAGCTCTACATCACTGAGAGACATCTTGAAGATCTCGTATCCAAAAACATTCGACGGTAGAGAAAGTAACAAGTAAATATTTGTAAGTGACCGAGGAAGTCGTGGCTGAGTCAGTTACAAAACCTGAGGCACCTCTACAGAGTTGTTTATCACTGTCCCTCTCCTGTCAAAGTAAATATTAGAGATCCTCCTCAGTGTTCATTTGAAGAGCGAGCGGTTGATGAGCGCTCTCATCCCAACAGCCTTAGGACCCCATTTAAGATTGGGAATGGCTGTAATTTGCCCCCGGCACGGTAGTGGACGCTACGTCTCACAGTGTCATCTGTAGGTAAGGGCCCCAGGCTCTGCTCTTTCTGTGACCATGAGTACTCGGTCCTGGCTTCTGTGGACGGATCAGAAATAAGTCCATCACTCTTGATGCCAATGAAACTGGTATTTTAAATCTCTGTTAATTCCTGGAATTTGACATCCACTTGTATTAGATTTAGGACAAAGCCAGCGTAGCTCTAAATCTCTGTTGATCAGCTTACTATGAACTTGCCATTGTCACTAGGGCCATCTTCATGAAGCTTTGGTGTGTGATGTCATGCTTGTGCAACAACATTTCTCATTTTATGTCGCTGATCTGATCGCCTGAGTTTCTCCTGTAAAGTGATGTTGATTTCGGTTTAGTTCAGTGGTGAAGATTGGCCAATTCAGTCCTTCCCTGTCTGTAGTTTATGGATAGATTTGATGGTTGGTCAATCTGTTGGTTGTTCAGCGTGTTATTTGTAGACTCAGAAGGAAGCAGTGTTTGTCGGACCTATTCTTTATTTTTTTTGTTGAATAACTGGTTTATTTGTTAGTTTATTTAGGCAGTACATCAGCAAAAAAGTAGCCCATCTGTTGCCAGTTCCCCAGGCAGAAACTCCAAAACTGACTTTTTTAAAATTGAATTCCTGCTCTTATGAAACTTGATTTCAGGATAACATAAATTGATTAAATTTAGCCCAGCCAATTAGAATTGAGTGAAAGTAGTACCCCTTACAGTGCATAGCAACCAAAAGAACATTAAAAGCAACGGAACTGTTCGCTTTTCTCATTTTGAGAAGAACAGTTCGTCAGTCCTGTGGACGGATAGCCTGTATCAATGACGATATTTGTTTGTTAATCAGTCAAAGTGTGTTGGCTGGCTGGTCGGTGCAGGGAGAAGTGGAGAGATATCTGTTGAATTATTGGATAGTTCTTGCCCACTTTCAGCCAATTTGTTTGCCAGTCTGCTCAGCCGTCATTTGCTTGTTGCCACTTGAAACGGTATTGTAGTACATGTAACAAGCCGAGTTCGTCTATAATGTGTGACAGAGGAGCGTATTAAGCAAGGTGTCACAATGTAACTCGTGACGCCTGAACGTCCTTCTCCTGGACACGCTAGTTTTATCTCGGTGTACAGGGTACATGTATTCGCTAACCACATACCCTCCAACCCTTTTCCTTCTGAATGCACCTTCCTTCCTGACAACCCTCTTGTCCAAACAAACAGAAACCCCACCTCTAGTGGTAGTCGCGTCACTCCTCTTCATTTCTCTCTCACCTCAAGGACCTTGCTGTTTCACCCCCCCCAATCATCAAAGCCAGAGTGACAGTAAAGGATGCAGCTATTGTAGCAAGTTTACAACCGTCTCAAACAACCAACCCCTCATTGGCTATGATTGGCTAGCGATTCTCCCCCTTAAGCTCTGCAGATTCGCCTGGCCCGCTCACCCTTTATCTGTCTTTCAAGAGAGAGTTAATCCACCCCTTAAGGCTCTTAAATGATGATCGCCGAAACCCACCCATGCGACATGGGAAGAGAAAAAAAGTAAATGAAATAGATTGTTAAGCTAGGCGCTATGCACACTTTGAAAAACTTTTATTAACAGGACTTATGCAAAATATCATGAAGAAAATGGCCTTGCCACCGATTGGGGAAACGAGGGCCAACCCTCTCCCGTTCTCGAAAAGAAGGGGCCGTTTACTGTTTTGTCGTTGATTTTAACTAAAGTGGGAGGAGGACGATTTGGGGGACTTTTTCTTTTCCCCCTCCTCAAACTACGGAGAAATTGAGCCATGCCCCCGCCCCGAAAGGCCATTAAAGGTATATAAAGAAATTCCCCTTTTTGGGGTCAACGAAGAGAAATATTCAATCTCCCCCGAAAAAAATATTCTGGAACTGCCCTTGTGTTTTGATGAAAATAATACAATATACAGTAGTTGCAAAATTGATCTCAAGTTCGACACGAGGAAATTCACTTGTCGGTCATGTCAAATCACGTTAGTATGAAATCGAGTAGCTGCCACTGTTGAAAATAAATATTCGATAAACATGACTTATACTGAAATACTACTCGACAAAAAAGGTCAGGACCAAAAGCAATTCCGGAACGGCTCGAGACACCTCATGCTGTCATTTAAAAGTCTGCATGTTTAATAAAGTTCCACCGACGTGTAAGTTCGAGCGTGCGTGACAAACTAACACAAAGTCAGGGTTAAAAAAAAGATTCTTTACTCGGTGGGCTCGGCAGCGTGCAGAGGTCATGGCTTTGCTAACTGTATGTTTTTTTGTCTTGACTCCTGGAGTTAGATTGGTACTGTGATGGGTACTGTACCTGCATTAAAGAGATCCACTCTCTTCTAAGTGTGGATTTTAGTGGTTACTCTGTAAACGGGCGGCCATTTGACATGAACGCTACAGAAAAAAAGCCACGAGCGTGCACGTGTCGCGCCGTTTCAAAAACTTTACCAAACATTGGCAGTAGACGCTGAACA